ACTGGGGCCTCTCAGGGCTGCGTGTTGGTGGGTCGCTCCCAGTGGAGGTCAAGCAACCCCTGCTCCCTCTCTGTTCCCCTCCTCTCTCGCCGCCTTTCTGCCCTTCCGAATGGGCGCCCGCTCGTCATCACCGACCACCATCCCCCCCAATGACGGTTCAAGCCGTGGTCTCCAGTAGTCGCAGCGCCTGAGAAGCCCTCAACTCAGCCCTCCATCACGGTCCCATTGGTCCCTGTCACAACTGCCCTGGTCCCGGTGCCATGCCCGACAGAGGGCCCTCGCCCGTGGTCTATACGGCCCCGGAAGGGTGGGAGAGATGTAGATGCAAAGGAACTCTTCGAGTCTTCTCTCGGCCCAGCATGAGCGGCAGGGGTGGCAACAAGACGGAGGGGACCCGTTACCTCCACCCTCGCCTCGAGCTTGGTCCTCGATCCCCGTATTGTGAGTGGTGCTGATGCCGGTAGTGCTGCTGGTCAAATATCCAGATCTCTCTCCATCCCGCCAGCCTATATGACCCGCCTACCCTCCTCCCCACGCGCGACCTCGTCTTTGCTCGTTGTCTGTCTCTTGTTTCTGTGCTGACCGCACCATATTGGTGTTGCCGTCTTGTCTATTGTGTCTTGGATAATGCTTCTTGTGTAATACTCTGTCTACTATACCGTCTTGGGATTCCTCGATATCCTCCCTCATTCACTCTCTCTTGTATACAAGGTCATTCACCATCTCTTGTGTACAACCCTCATTCACCCTCACTCGTATACAACATCATCAAAACCATCTCGGTACTGCCGCCTGGTGTCACATCCTCAACATATCGACGAACCGTTCGCCGTATTATAGTCGTACTGAACTCATATCGGCGTCAACTGTTCTACTCAATATCGAATCGACCGATCAGTGCCATATCTTCTATCTCATTGAACTCGACCGACCTTCGACTTCTATCGACTGGACTGGGGAACCTTTTCTCGATAGGACCTGCGCCTGGTGGCCAGTGCCCTTGATTTATCTCGACAGTCTCTCTCCGGTTTCCGTTCACCATGACCAACACTTCAGTTGGGCTAAACCTATGCCCACCGCCGTTCTTCGACCAAACGCTATTTCCCGACGAGGGTGGATGTAAGAGTGTCTGAGCCAGGACTGTCCTCGGGTTATCTAACAAATACTTAGTTGTCGATGGACGGCTCTGTCAAACGGTGGGCACTATGCAATGCTGCCTGCCATGTCCCATGACCGACTGGGTGTACCCTGATCGGTTCGAGACCCTGACAGCGGTCGCAAACTGGGTCGCTGCCTTTAGTGTGCTGTGTTGCGTCTTCTTGCTCCTGTCATGGGCATTCTTGCCCGTGGACAAGACCAACCGCCATTATCTGAGCATATGTTTGACCTTTGCCGTGTTGCTAATGAATGTGAGTCGACGTCCTAGATCCTCGCACGCTGTTACTGATAGAATAAACCAGCTGGGCTTTGTTATTCCGCTGGCAGCGCGACCGGATCAATGCTACAATGAGATCACCCCTCACAGCATGAAGACGAGCCAGGTCTGTGGCGCTTCGGGCGCATTCCTCCTCCTTGGAGGCTGGGCTGGCGTCATGTGGGTGTTTCTCAGATCCGTATCCCTTCACCTTCAGATCTGCTGGCAGGTCCTTGTCGGCCGAAACTTTATGATCTTTGCCCAGGCGGCGGGATGGGGAGTTCCTATTCTGGGCATCATCCTGGCCCTCGTCTTCAGCGGTGTCTCGTTCCGCTTCGGAGCGACATGCCATATCAACCATGCCAACAGCTTGGCCGACTTCTGGATCCCTCTGTTGCTCTTCGCCGGGTTGACTGTCATCATCACCTTTGCCACTTTTGGCTACTGCATCAAGGTTTACCTGACTGCCCTGGGCGACAACGGCGCGTCCTCGGAGGGTTCCAGCCTGCCTACTTACACCCAAAGCATCAAGACCATGAGCCCACGACAAGCATACCGCAGGGTTCGTCGCGTCATCGCTCTCCAATGGCGAGGCATTGCAATTGTCCTCATCATCATTGCCGATGTCATCTTCTTTTCCGTCATCTTTGTATTCCAGGACAATGTCGTGCAGTCTGTGACCGACGATCCCACATTGGCTGAGGACTGGGTGAAGTGCCTGGTCTTGGAGAACGGCAAAAAGGCCAATTGTCTTGACGAAGCAACAGCACTTGTTCTTAACGAAGCAACCATCACGGCTGTGTTGCTTCTTCTCGCAGTATGTTGATGTGTCAAGGATTGATCTGAACCTCAGCTAACCCATGATAGCTCAACGGCCTTTGGCTACTCTTCTTCCTCGGACGATGGTCCATGGCCCAAGGATGGCTCGAACTATTCTCGAAGCCGTTCAAGAACAAGAACAAGAAGGAATTTGTATCGGTGGATGCCCACATCGATGCCAAGAATAGCACACGTTCGTACGAGATGCTCTCACGAGATTCGAGCGCCGCGGTAACACCCATTACTCCAGTGAAGTCCCCTGAGAGTGGACGAAGAACCCCCGACTACTTTGGGCGAACTGCTCGTTACCATGCGCCAGCACGTTCGTTCTCGAGCCCCAGACCCCCGCCAGCGGCGTCATGGGATGCCGGAGAGACATTTGCTCTGCCGACGTATAAAGATAAAGACATGCACCCACTGAGCATGAACCAAACATGAAAGTCCCGGACTTGAACGAAGAGAGCATTGAGAGACGATAATCACATATTTACGCATAATTATACCCAGAATCAACCAACGACCTTCACACCGCTGCGACAGCTACCGCGCAAAGCCTCGAAGCTTTTGCCGACACGCCAGTCCTCGGTAAGAGAAGGATCAACAATACCAACGACTGGATTTACTTTTTATTATTATTAATGGAGGACTTTTCTTGACACGAAAGCGAGGCGTTGACATTTGAGATGGGCGCGACTTTGAATAAGGAGGGGGGCAAAGCGCGAAGATACATGTCGACTCCAACAAACACCAAACCTGAGGGTTTGCTGATGTAGAATAACGACCAAGACGACGAGTCTGAGACTCTACGAATGCAGTTTCATTATCGTCAGATTGACCCTTGGTGGAGGGTATTGGCGCGAAACGTTACTGGATGTAACAACAGGCAGAGCCTCTGTCTGTCTCTTGACTCCAAAGAGACGAGTCTAGAGAGCGCCGGCGGGAATTGGGACATGGATTTGTAACCATACCGGTAGCTGCGGACAAAAGAACCTTACCAAGTGAGGATCATCAACCTTGAGATATCAGGTTATCTCATTCCAATACAATCATACCTTCAACTATTCCAATCTGTGCACTCTACAAGCCAGTCTTACGTGTCGTCTGTTTCCAGGAAAGAGCCCTACCAAAAGCACTTAGTCGTACTGAGACTTACTTTTTGTGGTTGTGTTCAATTACACAGAGAAGGCCAACTCTACAGCATACTGGGCGTTCACAGGACAACTTGAAGCCCAGAGAAGTATGCAACATATTCTTCCTTTATTTTCGTCTTCATCAGCCTTCTGCCTCTGTGGGTTTTGGCGAAAGGTCTTCCGTCCAGACACCTGACAGGTACCCTGGGAAAGAGTGACAGTGTCAAACTAACACCGGACTACACTCTGCGAAAGGCGTAGGTAGAGTGCATCTCCATCCACGATGCGTACGAGAGAATGGTTACTGAGATACACAACAGCGGACTTGCACTCCGCCTGGGCCTAGAAGTTTGCTGCGGCTGGCTCAACTGGAGACGCAGGTCTGGGGCCAACGATCGATATCGATGACCTCCTAACAGAAGCCCGCGAGCCGAAGCTTCTTGTTGACCAAATTGAGTAGCAAGCGAGGGATCTTCTAAGCTTGTTCGATGAAATCAGAGCCCACGACATGTCCTAATGTGAAATTTGATCTTTTTCGGGAATGCGTTTCTTTCTTTCTCTGTTTCTTTTTTCGGATCTCGTTCTGAGCTGGGATAGTTCGAGGACGTACCTATGAATGGGTAGATCAAGCTTGGGTGGTGTAATGGACATGCACATATCAGACTGGTTGGGCTCTCTGCAATTTGAGCTTCGATTCCACTGCGTCTTTGGTGTACACTTGGCTATCCAACACCATTGTCATTCTGACAACCGTTTGGAGACGATCAGGTTACTCAATACCTGGCCTAGGCTGGTAGGGAATGACCCTTTGACGAAAAGAAATACTCATGGACCTCGGATTTTCTGGTTTCCTCACCAAACTTGATCTTTTTGACAAGTCTCCCTAGGCTGTCGTCTGTTCATCAGTATTGCTTCGTCTGACTTGAGGCATTGTGGTTGTTGTCTACGCTGGCGTAATCGGCGGCACGGGCTTTTGCCAAGTGCGAAGCGCCGAAATATGAGGCACACCAGTTTAATGCCATTGCTTGAGTGATGAAACATGGCGAACAATGGCAATTTGTATCAATTAATCATTAACCAGGTAAACAAAGAATAAACTAAAGTCAAAAGACCGAAACCTTGTTATTGATTGTTGCTGGGGAGTCAATTTAGGTTCAAAATGTTGTTGCGATGAAGCGTCCAATGTCCAATTCTTGTGTCGCGTGCTTCCTCGTTCAGTGGCCAGTCGACATTCAGTTGGTCAGATCGCCCTGCATCCTGTTCCGGGCCATCCGAAAAAGGCCACCACAATCCAGGGACCAGACAGCTTATCTGAGCTCAGCAGCTTGCGTGAGAGGTATAATAGCTAGAGGTGACCCTCGTGTGAGATCGCTGCCTCAAGATCCTCCTTCACTGCCCTGGTCACATTGAGTACTGATGCTGAGATAGCGTCATTCCACCACGCCCTTGGTGCGCTATGTACGCGACGAAAGCCGATTTCCTAACGATCTTCTGGAGACAAAATCGGATCACCAAACAGGGGAATATCAATTCGACTTGAAGATACGGAACAACGTGCGATTGAGACAGGATCAGCTGGAAACCCCAAGAGCACACGACAAAACCCCATTGTGGGTGGTTAGCCTTTCATCCTGACAATGAGTGGGGCATCCCGACTCTCGGCCTTCATTCGCGGCAAGCGGCCCCGCATCCCGGAGACAAACACCGGTCAACGGGACCGTTTGCTTGACGACTGGATCAACGAAGAGGATGGCAATGAAGACAAAAATGGAGATGAGCAGCAATACGAGAATCCTTCGAATTTCGAGTCCACCAGGTTTTACTCATACACACGCTTCCCTGCCGACAAAAAGCCAACGAGAAGGTGTGGGCGAAGAGGCAGATGCTTCCGAAGTCGGTGTTGTGGCATCTTTCTCTTGGTGACGATCTTGGTTCTCGGTGTTGCCTGGACCTACAGGTGGCATATAGAGACGGCTCGTCGCCAGAAATGGACACCAGATGCAGAAACAGAACGCTTCAGCCATAAGCCATTGCAGCTACCCGCCAAGAACATTCAGATCTCCAACTATACGCTTCCACTGCGGACCAAGGGTCGCAATATCGTCGACGCCCGCGGTGAACGCTTCAAGCTGACTTCGGTGAACTGGTACGGAGCAAGCGATGAGCTTTTTGTGGCAGGAGGGCTGGATATTCAACACCGCGATGACATTGCTCAGACTATCAAGAGTCTCGGCTTTAACAGCGTCAGACTGCCTTATGCTGACGAGCTGGTCATCAAGAACCCAACCGTGGATGCGAGGTACCTTCGTGCAAACTCGGACCTGGTAGGGCTGAAGGCCATGGATGTTTTCCACGCCGTCGTGGAGTCTCTGACCAAGGCGGGCATTGCCGTGATTGTTAATAACCACATTACGAGCGCTACATGGTGCTGCGGTGCAGACCCATGCGATGCTGCCTGGGCCAACGATTATTTGGGACTGTTGTGCCCCGTGAAGCAGACTGAGGAGGAGTGGATTCAGCACTGGGAAACCATCATGTTGCCCTATGTGAACAACCCGCTCGTTATTGGCGTTGACCTCCGGAATGAGATTCGTGGTCTCTGGGGAACGATGCCATGGCCCAAGTGGGCAACAGCCGCAGAGCATTGTGGTAACAGGCTCCTTCGAATGAACAAGAATTGGCTTGTCATCGTTGAAGGCACTGAATCATCCAACGACCTATCACATGTTGGAAAGCGTCCCATCAAGCTTGACGTGGACCATCGAGTAGTGTATTCAGCACACGTCTACGCGTGGTCGGGCTGGGGCAGCTGGGAAGGACGATTCCTTCTCCGCGAGTACGAGTCGTTTGCAAAGACCATGCGGCATAATTGGGGGTATATCTTGGATGAGGAGATGGCGCCCGTCTGGGTCGGCGAGTTTGGCGCGCCATCCAAGCCATCAGTCGGCGACGCAAACTACTGGCAGCATCTCATGCGTTTCCTCCGAGAGCAGAACGCCGACTTCGGATACTGGGCCCTCAACGCACGAAAGCCAAAGGGCAATACGACCGAGACGTACGGGCTATTGCATGATGACTGGGTGACGCCGGTGTTGGACTACCGAATGAAGGACATGCTAGATCTGATGGCGGCATGAAGACGAATGTGGAAACTCGGCGTTTATATGTGAAACTAGGCTGCTATTTTCGGGGAAATGATGAACATGCAAACGGGTCTCGAGATTTATTGGAGTATAACTGGAACGGAGTTTGTGTCAAGGATAGTGTATTTCCGAAAAAGGGGTACAAACAGAGACATTGTTGACAACGTTGAACTCCAAGTTGCGAGTTTGGATCAAGTTATGATACTATAGATGACGGGTTCTACCGTGTGAATATGTATGTCCTCTCAACACCGAATGCACCTGCCGAGGTGTGAGCAAGCTCCTTATCGATAACAGGCGCAAGCAGGTCGGAGGCACTGCGCCCCGCCACCTCACCTCGCCTCTCACTCTCTACCACCGCAGAAGCACAATTAGTTGTCCTGCAGCATCACACAACTTAACCCTACAACTCTAATATCCTCGTCCGACTGATCTCCCCGCCGCGGCTCGTACCGCACCTTGCCGTATCGCCATTATCCGAATGTTCATGTGCAACACCGCAACGAGGCTCCCCTCCGCGCATCCTTGAATGCTTGCTGATGGAAAGCCAACCGTCACCCTCTGCCCCTGCAAAGTTCCCGATTTCTGTGGGAAAATGCTACGCGCAAACCGCCAACGAGCGGGTGAGTCTTTTGAGCATGGGACATGCCTCTCATTGCCATCTAGGTCTCTGCTGCTGACACAAGCTGCTTTGCGCCGGATAGTTTGGCGATGGGGCCAGAGCAGCCATCCGCCAGCGCGAACGTTTGTCCCTAGGCTTGCACCCCACCGACGCCGAAATACCCTTTACGTGGCCTTCCGAAGATGACGAGAATCAGGCTGGCCCTGAATCTTCCATCTATAGACTTGTACCGAGCATGCAGAGTTACAGGAACAACCTTACGGCTCTCTCTCAAGTGTTCAATGTGCGACCTCCGGCCTTCCGGTGAATGTGTGCATGACTGATCACTTACCCTAGCTCTACTTTGTCGCCTACCAAGGTCACATATTCGTCTACAAACCCCGCGGAGTACCGCACCAATCGCTTCCTTGCCACCCCGATCTTCAGCTCAAGCCCGAGCCGAGTCCCTACTCCCGTTCGGTCGGAGGATATCTCGACCCGAGAAGACCACATCTGATCAACCATATCATCACTGGGCTAGTTGGGCACGAAGAGATTGTGCTTGCGTGCTACGATGACGGCGATGTGGTTGCGTACTACACGAAGGATATTGGCACATACGTCTTGGGAGGCCGTGGAACCACTGGCTCGTCACACAAAGCTACACCAAGGCCCTTCTTCCGTGAGAATGTCGGCATGTCTGCATGGGGTTTGGCTATACATCAAAAGTCCCGCCTCCTTGCTGTCAGCTCGAACCGTCACGAGGTAATTGTGTTTGCCTTGGCGTTGACATCAGACCCTTTCAAGCGGAAAGAAGCCCCCTCCTCAGACTCTCAAGAACCTAAAAAGAAGACGAGTCATCGACGAACCCGCAATTGGAGGATTGTCATTATGATGGGTAGCGACGCGGATAATATGCCCAATATTTGTTTTGTGGATGACTTTGAAGGCCAGGCTCAGAAGGTATGTGCAATTGATATCAAGGGAACCGTTTGGCTGGCGGACATTTGGCAAGCCCATCAAGGCCCGATAGCCATCCAAGCCCTCAGTCAGCTCAAGAGCGAAGAATTCTATCCTTCCCCCACTAGAGGCTGGGGAGTACTCGCCCTGGACGACAATTGCTTCATGAAAGTACGGACTAGCGAGGAGCTGTTTGGCCTTCACGCGAGCCAAGTGGAAGTTATCCGCGCATCCAATGGGTGCAGCCACCCGTTGGTTAATGTGAAGAATGCCATCAACAAGATCCCAAACAATCCTCATCGAAGGGCAGCGCAGCCTGTCATGGCTCAAGCTCACCCTCAAATTATGCAACTGCCGTTCGGCTTTCAAGGACCTGGCCCCCTCTTGGACAGCGAAGAAAGTGGTGGCGAAAGCGCAGATGAAGACGATTTCGAAGATACAGAGCTCGGAAGCGAGGAGGAGGAGGAGGATGGAGACGACGTAGAGGACGACAACCATCAGGATATTCTTGGCGCCGAAACCTTCGCCATGATTCCTACAGGTGGGACGTTCCCGGCAGGCACTGTAGAGCACGCTCTGATTGCCCCCTTCACGTCCCACGATTCGTTTGATACGCTGAACGCATTCCTGGACGACTTTGATGGCAAGCTCTGTGAGGATGGGACCAGCTCGGACGAGGAGATTCTTCCCAGAAAGGCCGACATGACTTATTTCCCCCACAGCGGCGAGATACTCGAGACACCTCGACAGCCATCCCGGATGATAGGGTTCCTGAAGCGACCACCTTGCAGCAACAATAATCGTCAAGAACCAGAAGCTCGGCTGGCTGGGCTCAAACGCAAGTTCTTTCTGTTACGAACGTACGAAAAGGATATTGAGATGCGGCCATTCTCTCGAACGCCGGACTGGGACCGCCGAGTGGAGTTTGGTGTTGTCTGCCCAGACGCATTGAGGTTTGGCAGGTTCAAGGAGGTTGGGCTCGTTGCACACTTCCATGCAACTGGTAGACTCAACATGATTGCGCTGGCGCCAGAGCTCGCTTTGGTGGTGATTGGATCACCGATTGGACGGGTGGTGCTCCTGACGCTGACACGCAAGGCTGTGCCGTCAGAGCGCGAGGAAGGAATCTGGGAACACGGGTTCCGAGTAGAGTGGGTGCTGCCGACGCAGTCAGATGAAGAGGAGCACAGGAGGGTGCTTCGGCCGATGCACGGCATGGCCCTGAGCCCCATCCAGACGGACGACGGAGCTGGAACCGGGCTCCCACGGCGGTACCGGTTGATGCTTCACTATCGAAACCACGACATTTTGTCGTACGAGTTGACGCGGAATGAGCAAACGGGAAAGCTTTGCATATTTTGACAAGGCGTTGTTTCAATCTATGCGACGAAGGATACCCGGCGCAAGGTTTGGGTGCACTTTTTGGAGTCTTGGGATGGTTTCTTTGGAGTTGGACTGGATAGTTTTCTTGTGTATTGTGGTTGGGGGTTATTTCGGGGGTGCATTGATGGCTGTGTTGACATTTATCATGCTCTGATATGCATATTGGAGGATTGAATAGAGATATTGATGCCAGTTACAAGCTCGTCGCAGAAGATCTAGGGACACGAATATGAAATGAAATACAAAGGATTGGAAGTTTGATGCATGGGTGGTAGTGGATACTTGGACAAACGAGGTTGACATTGATGAAAGATTGGTCTGGAGAAGAGAAGCTGGAGCAAGATAATGCGACCAATCTATCTAGATACCCCACGGTTCTATGGGCGGGGTAATGTAAAGATGGTGAATCACGAAAACCCATGAAAAAGATTAAAAGGTGAGTTACAATGTAGATATCCGTGAGGCAAAGCGAGGCAAAACACATGGAGCCCCAGCTCAGAGCAGCGGAGCCGACTGACGATGGAGACAGGCCCCGGACCGGGATCGGGAGTGGTGACAAGTATGAATTTGGTCACTCTTTTGAATGCGGGGACCCGTATCTCGGGGTTCCGGGTCGGCGGGACGAGGGAGCTGCCCCCGCAAAGCAAAGCCCATTCCACGCCGGGGAAGAGCAGAGGCAGAAGGAGAAAGAGAAGAGAGAATGAACAAGGGCGAGCTTCTAGAAAGTGGCGTGACGATATCAAAGATAGCGGAAAATAGGGGGTGGTTATACGATCATGACCAGAAGCGATTTGTGTGTCTTTGATGATCAGGTGGAACTTGATTGGTCGATGAGACTGCAGGGCAAGATAAGGATGGGAAAAAAAGCTTGACTACTTGGCATGGACCGGCGCCACGGGAAGGGAGGCTCAAGTGTGTAGTGAAGGTGTGTGTGGGTGGACTCTGATAGGGGGACTCGAGAGGAGGAGGAGACAAAACCTGGGGATGTGGTTTTCCTGGTTGGTTACTGGATCTCGAGGTTTTATTCCGCTATCCTGTGGCTTGTTGAAGCTGAAGCTGAGAAATGTGTGTGTGTGTGCGTGTGCCTATTCGTGTGTGTCGTTTGAGTGACTGGGCGTAGATAAGACATGAAGCCATCTCATCTTGTCGAGACAGAAATCGACTGTTGCCCAGTGCTCGCTCGCTGGCTCACCTTGACCTAGTGCAAATTACATGCCGTGGTGTGCTGTGCTCATATCCGATATACCTAGTCTTTTACTCTGGCGGCCTCACCGAGGATGCTTCGTCCATGCCCAAGTCTAGCAGGGGGGAGTTGGTCCTTACCTAGTGGATGCGGTTCTTGAAGAAGCAGCGAAAAGTTGAGTGCCGCTGTTCTTTGCCAGAGGAACGGTAAACGGATGGAGGATCCGTCTCAGCCGCCCCGGGATGCCCCGGATAGATTGGGAATCAATCGTGGGCCCTGGGACAACGAAGCTTGGCCTTTTTTACTCTCGAGGTGTAGCGCGCCGGGGGGTGGTAGAGGTGTTATGTAGGCCAAGAGATGGCGGGTTGTTTTGGGGGCTCCACTAGCTGAATGCGGGCTTGACGATGAAGAAGATGCAGCATATCATTCATGACGTGTGCCGGATTTTGATACTAGATAATCAGCGGTAGCAACGCTGAAATACAAATACAAAGCCAAGACAAGACATGAAAAATTGGATCAAAGGAAAAAGAATGAGAGATGTCGTTGAACCAAAGATGAGGCGAGATGGAAGCTGATTGGTTCATGCTGGCTCATGTGTCTGGGGTTTTAGTCACTGGTCCGACTCCAATTATTTTCATTAAACAAACTTTTGACTCACCGAATGGGATCAGGTACCGCACAGCCTCTTCCCCCCACAAAAAATGTACCTACACTTGAAGACGGCTTCTTGTTTGCTGTCAGTGGTCTTGATAAGAAAAGATGGCTTTTTACACGTGAGGTTTTGACTTGTTGGAGAAGGTGTCTGAGCCAATTGGATTTTCTTCTACTTCTTCTGTTTCTTTTCTTTTGGGGACTCGTCTCTTCTTATCAGTGATTGACGTGATCAAGTAACGGAATATCTTTATTTAAACTTTTGTACCGACGGGTTCTTGCGTCTATCGGATCTTGCACGTGCAGAGATGAATCGAGTGATGGTCAGTCCATCGAAAGAGTAAAAAAAAAAGCTGTTCGAGATGGCTTCAAAATAATCTCGTATCTTGTCCGAATCTCGTTACTAAGTCTTTGCCCATGTGTTACAACGACGCATTACAAGAGTTGAAAAAGGTGTACTCACTCACCTCGGGGAGACCCGGATGGGGGAGCCGGAGCTGATGATTCAGGGCTGGACAAGACCGGGGGGACATTTTTCGTGGGTTGTGTCAAACAGGTAATGTAATCGATGGCACTTACACATCGTTTTACCTACCTTTCGTCATCATCCGGCGATCCGCTAAGCTACAGCTGACTGAACACTCTAACAACTCCGATTTTCGGTTTCAAGGAACCCCATCTCGAGATCTCTTTTTTTCTTGTGTTTAGTGATTGAAGAAAAAGTCATCACGCGACAATTCTCCAAAGCCAAGATTTCTGTTATCTGAGACTTGACTTTCAGCTGGCACTTTTACAGAGATACACAACACACACAAGCCCCAAATCTCGGTTGGATATCAGTCTCTCTCTCAGCTCAACAGCAACAACAACAACACACACACATCTTGTTATCCCCCATACTCCAAATTGAGTGTCTTGCACATAACCGAACCCCACGCTTTCCAGGGAACCAATATCACACGTCAACGGCGGCCCCGGAGCAACGACCCAAGCAAGCAGACCAGCAATTGAAGCAAGAGCTCTTCGTCTTGTGTGCCCCCAGGTTTCTTCTTTAGACAGTAGAGCGTCATGCACGCCCTTTCCCCGAACAACGCCCCCTCCCTCTCCCGTTTTTGCGACAGCGGTTTCAAATCTTCATTTTTTGGGGGCAGGTTTTCTTATCATAGATCTCTGTGACTGTGTACGTGATCCCACTTCGTAGCTTTCCCCCGAGTAAGCTTCCCCATGGGCAGTGCCGCTTTTCTCCTCTTGCTCACGTCAACGAGGCGAAGCTCCACGGACTCGCCATGTCCCAAAGACACTCTTTCGTAAAGGGCGTGGGACCGTCTTCGGGTCAATGGGGGCAAATCTAAAATGCGGACTCTGTCCGGAGGACCGGGGGTTGAGAAGGGGATCTCGCCAGGAACCAGGCCAAGAACGGTGCTCGATCGGGGTCGGGGGAGGTGTGCATGTAACAGAAACCATGCCTACAAACGTATAAGCGCCAGGCTCTATCGTAGGGAGGGGGTCCACGCTTGGGTTCCTGGGGACAGAAGCACGACGCCGCTATCTCTACCTTGCCTATCGCGCCGCCTGTTGACTGTACGTACCGATAAACTATGTGTCCAACCTGTTTGTACATGGAGGCTTGCTCTCGTTCACTCACAGTTCAAAGACCTGGGGTACGTACCCATCTATCTCTCTCTCCGCGCTCCGTATCGCGCCTCTATCTATCTTTCAGTCTAGAGCCCTCGTCCATCTCTCATGGGGTATCTCTCGAATCAATCCCGCAGGGGATCTGCAAACCCAGTCCATGCCCGGGCTTGTACCCGAGGCGACGGGCTTGGGCTGAGGGTGAAAAAAACTCAGACAAGCTTGTCCTCCCCGTCTCGATATATAGACTCTCGATGCCCGGTTTCTGATCTCATATCCCCTTTCCCTTCCCATCCAGTCTTACCATCTTACCTGACTCGGGGCAAGAGTTCTTGGTCAATTCTTGACTTCTTATTTCCAATCTCTAGTGACTCGATCCTTTTACTTTACTTCTATATCCTTGTATCTCTTGAGTGACGCCCTACGCTATTCCCACTCGACCTCGTCGACCTCGACAACAAACTCCATCACGAATCGATAACCGAGAATAAAAACTTTGCCCACCATGTCTTACGTCGAAGTCGGTGCCCCGACACCGTTTAACGGTACCAATGAGGAACTCGGCGGTGACTCCAGTATGCATCAACACCAACACCAAACGCCAAGCTTCTAGTATACTAACAGACATCTTTTACAACAGCCACCGAGAACCTCAACCAGTGGTACCAGTCTGGTGATCAGGCCTTCATCCTCGTCTCCGCCTGCCTCGTCCTCCTCATGGTCCCCGGCATCGCCTTTCTCTACTCGGGTCTCGCCCGCAGAAAATCCGCCCTGTCCATGCTCTGGGTCGTCATGATGTCCTTCTCCGTCATCGTCTTCCAGTGGTACTTCTGGGGCTACTCGCTCGCCTTCTCCCAGTCTTCCGGCAACCCCTTCATCGGTGACCTCAAGCACTTTGGTCTCATGAAGGTCTGGGGTGCCCCCTCGGTCGGATCTCCTCTCGTCCCCGCCCTCCTCTACTCCTTTTACCAGATGATGTTCTGCGCCGTCACTGGTGCCCTCACGATCGGTGCCGTTGCCGAGCGCGGTCGCGTCATTCCTAGCATGGTCTTCATCTTCTGCTGGGCCACCCTCGTCTACTGCCCTCTCGCTTACTGGGTGTGGAACGCCAACGGCTGGGGTTTCAAGAACGGCGTCCTCGACTACGCTGGTGGTGTCCCCGTCGAGATCGGCTCCGGTATGTCGGCTCTGGCCTACTCCTGGGTCCTCGGCCGCCGCAACGAGAAGATGATGATGAACTTCCGTCCTCACAACATCTCCCTCATCACCCTGGGTACCATCTTCCTCTGGTTCGGCTGGCTCGGCTTCAACGGTGGCTCTGCTTTCGGTGCCAACCTCCGTGCCGTCATGGCTTGCTGGAACTCGTGCCTGACTGCCATGTTTGCCGCCATGACCTGGTGCCTGCTCGATTTCCGTCTGGCTCGCAAGTGGTCCATGGTCGGCTGGTGCTCCGGTACCATCTCTGGTCTCGTCGCTGCTACTCCTGCCTCTGGTTTCATCGACCCCTGGGCCAGCATCATTCTCGGTGTTGTTGCCGGTGTCGCCTGTAACTTTGCCACCAAGGGTAAGTCGATAAACTATCTCGCTCAATTTCATCACTAACAATTTTTACAGTCAAGTTCCTTGTCCGAATCGACGATTCCCTCGATGTCTTCGCTGAGCACGGTGTCGGCGGCATGGTCGGTCTCATCTTCAACGCCTTCTTCGCCAGCAGCTCCATCATCGGCCTCGACGGTGTCAACACCGGTGCCATTGGTGGCTTCATGGACGGTAACTACGTCATCATCGGCTGGCAGATCGCTGCTATCGTCGCCTCTTCCGCCTACGCCTTTGTCATGTCTGCCGTCATCGCCAAGATCATCGACTTCATCCCTGGTCTCAAGCTCCGCGCTTCTGAGGAGGCTGAGCTCCTTGGTATGGATGACGACCAGCACGGCGAGTTCTCCTACGATTACGTCGAGGTCCGCCGTGACTTCCTCGCCTGGAGCCCCCAGCGTGACGAGCCTGCTGAGGATGGTGATGTCCTCGAGCCCACCCACGGCATTCAGGAGCATCAGTCCATGATGAACACCCCCAGCCTGTCTGACGCCCGCAAAACCCCCTCCATCGATAACACCCCTGAAAAGGTGGTTCCCGAGAAGCAGGCTTAGACGCTTTCTCATGGAGGACTTTATTTTGCGACTCAATCTTTTCTAGCGGTATAGAGAGTGTGTGCTTGGCCATTTTTCCTTATTTGTTACACTACACACAATGGTCGTTGGGAGTAGCCGGCAAAGGCGTTTACGGTTTTTCGAATCTTGTTCGCAATCTACTACATCTTGATTTTAATACCCGCAAAGGCACATGTATATCTATCTGGCTGGCTTCGGAAAAGTGATTCCAAGTAGTCGAGGACGCACATACAATCCCTCTTTGCAGTCTGATACTTTAGATAGTCATGGAATCAGAATGTCCATATCTTTGAATCTTAGCAGCAAGTGAATTAAATATCCATGTCTATTATCCAGCTTTGAAGTGTTCCCAAGTAATCAATCCTATAAGCTTAAAATGTAGTGGATCTGGCATCCATCGTTCCCAAATGCCAGTCTTTGTTCCCAGTTTAAATATGAATAAGATCCGCTGTGACCCTGCCACCCCTTACTATGATGATATCCTACATCGTACACAGCCTAAATACCCCTCTATCGTACACACTTCAGGATGGGGGCACACCGTCCGTCACTTGGCCGTAAGGTAATGTCGGGTAGTCCCCAAAGCAAGCATACTCAAACTTGGCCTTGTCCACCATTTCTTCCTGCACCTTGAGGAACGTCTCCAACTCGCACCAGCCGTCCTTGCGGTCGGCGTCACATTCTGGGAAGCTCTTGCCCAAAGGAAGAGTCCGCTGGTTCAGCACAAAATGGATGTACTTGGTCTCCTCTCCCTCCAGATAACCAGTCCTGTCTGGTGAGACAGGCTTGGGTGCCTTGATAATCTCAATGTCCAGACGGGCACCAAACGGAGTTACGTGAGCCACCGTGAAGTTGTGGTCTCCCGGATACTCATCGGCTGGGAGCTTGTCGGCAAACTGGCGAAAGCCAAAGGCAGTCAGGATGGAGACAATGTTGGTGTCGTGAGAAAAGTCAAAGTAGAGACTTTGGTTCAACGGGAAGGTTTCTTCCATGCTGTCAAGTGTCGTGTTGATCTGAGAGCCAGAGTAGCCCAGCGTGTGGTTCTTGAGTCGCGCAATCACCTCTTGTTGATAGCCGAGGCCAATCGCCCGCTACAAGTTGTCAGCATCACTTAACCACATAAGAAGGGGGAATACTTACGCCCACTGGGCTGTGAAACCCGGCGCCAGAGGCAAAGGCGAGGTCAACCGAATACCCAAAGCCCTGCCACTCCTCATAGGTAAACAGGTCGCAGAACATGCTGAAACCATACGCAACCGTCTCATAAGGACACATGGTCTGAGCAGCATACACATCCGCGGGGGTCCATTTGAGTCCCTCAGTCATGTTGTTGAACCGGTCGGTAGCTGGATGTACAGTTAGTGCCATTTCAGTCAGTCGTTTTAAGTAAGGGGCATACCATCTTGCAGATACTTTTCAACCCAGGTTGACACGGGCGACTTGTAGTCAGCCTTGGCTGCGTTGGGGCAACCGAGGCCACCGGCAAGTGAGTTGTTGAAGCCGGGGGCCTCGATGATTACCTCAATGGTAGCATTATTCGTCCTGACAGGGTCAATATGCGGTTTCAGCAGTGAGTGTCCGTTCACCTACCATTCCAGGCCGAAGAAGCCAGCCATCCAGTTCTCAGCCGACTTGAGCATTCGGTCTTGGGTCTGTTCGAGTTAGCTATGAGACTCTTGGGCCGATGCTGATTTTTCTGGATACAACATACTGTCGTTCTGACGATGAGCTTGCTCTGGGGGTTGTACAAGCTGCCATACATGTATGCATGCAACACACCTGTTGAAGAAGATTAGTGTTGAAGCTTAAGGCTAGACCTATGCTTGCTTACCAGACTCGAAGAGCTCCTGGCGGCCCCTTGGAACCAGAATGGCGTAGCCAAGTTCATATTTCCAGTCATTAAGGAAGGACAAAGCTCCCCTTGTGTTGAACTTGCCAGAGGCATTGGCGAGACGCTCACCCAGCTCGGCCACATTGGAGCCAGGAGTTGGGTATCGTGCACCATGACGCGACAGCATCTGAACCTGAACAATCTCGGCACCCTGGGGGATAGGGTACTCATCCACACCAAAGCCGGGTGAGGGCGAGTAAGGGCTCAGATAACCCATCATCTTGAAGATGCTCTGGTTGCCCTCCTTCATGCCCTCGATGGGGATGGAGGTCTGAAGGGGCTCGTTGGGGACAAAGGTAGCCGTAGGCTCAAAGACGTGAGTTTGAGCCATAAAAGCCGGCTTACCGGTAGCCGTAGCGCCGGGCCATAACTGCGGCGAAGTCTGGAAATACTGGGGCACCCGGGGTGGGTCGCAGCCGGAGCCGGAGAAGGCATACGGAAGGCTGAGATAGAGGTTCGAGCCCAGCAGGAGCACGACGAGCCCAGAGAGGAGCAGCGTCATATTCCGGTAAGTCCGAACTGGACCTCGAGGCATCACAGGGGGGACGGGAGGCGGCCTATGGCCATCGTCGTGGCTGTCGTCCTGATGCACGAGGTGGTAGCCATCTTTGGGCTCGCGAGGCGCTGATGATGCCGCCATTGTGATGTAAAACCAAGGCGAATTGCGATGGCAGGCCCGAAATACGATGCGAGATAGATGGCTGTCTCAGTGAAAACGCACGAGTGAGTAAGTGCAGCCTCTCAGCCAGCCCAGGCGAGGGTCTGGGGATGTCCCCCTTGGAGCCGCTCCAGGGGCGGAAACAGCGGCAGCAGCGGGCGCGATGACAAGTCCTAGCCACTTGGCGCTGAAGGAATGATCGATCTAGGGCCTGGGATTGGGGCAATCGAGTCGATGAGCGAGTATGCGTCTCCTGCTGATGCCAGGTGATGCCTGTGGAGGTGGTTGAGAGTAGTGTATGTAGCGTGGCAGCCCTGGCGCGCGCCGTGGAAGGTAAGAGCGGGAGATACCTTCCGTGGGTCACCTCAGCCAGCCCAGCCCCTGTGGCTTTCGGCTTCTCGATGTTGCGTAGAAAATAAAGGGGGACCGTGCGCAGGGACCAATAAGGTTCCGGGGCTGACACTGTGCATCCCCGGAACGTGCCTTTGAGATGGAGAACAAGGGGAGGGGACGGGGATGGAGATCTCCAAGACGCCGCCGCGCTAGCCACCAACCGTCAGCCAGGGCAATCGAAAAGAGGCGCAAGGGAGAGAGCTCCAGTGCGATGGCAGCGGTTTCGAGAGGCGTCTGCTGGGCTTGCTAGGGGGTCCTGGGCGCGTTTCCAAGGCCAGAGTTATCATCCTTTATCTTGCACTGTGCCACACACTGTGACGTATTTGCTTTGTATGGTCCACTAAGATCCGCACCTTCTCTCACGTTTCCACCTCACCTCACCTCAACCTGGGCTTCTAATCTCTTCTCTCATCCCAATTCGCATCCATCGTGCACCCCCGTCCCCATGCATGGCTGAATCCACGTTGGACCCGATCTACCCAAGAACCGTTCACCTGCGCTAATGGCAAGCCAACGGCCAACGGCCAAGGCCATGGCCATGGCCATGGCTCTGGGAGCGGGATAGTCGATCCTCATGGATACGGACGTCTTCCGTAGGTCGTGAACTACCTACAGCGCGGAGTACCTTATCCCGTCATTGAGACAACTCGCTGTCATCGACCCCATACCCCAGGTCAGGAGCCAGCGCCTCTACCCTGAATCTCTGACAGCCGTCACTTTTCGGGGTGGGTTCTACCATCTGCCATGCCTGCCTATCGCGGCCGCCATCTTGTCATTCATTCTTGATGTCCCGTCTACATCTACCTCCCGATCATCGAGCACACCGCCTTCACCGCCATTGAATCGTAATCATGACACGCATGGGGGTAATCATGTCGAGACTCCCTCGTTTGAGGAGTAGAGATGAGGAATGCAAGGCGAGGATGGAGACAACGACAATCACGCCGAGATGACGATACAAAGCAATTTCTACCAGCAGCGGAAACAAAAGCAAATCTGTCCTGCCATCTGACCAGTCTACCCTACCAATTTGGGCAAAAGCAACTCCGGTTCTAGCGCCGATAGACCAACAACCAGTCGATCGAGGAAACTTGTCCGTACTCGGTACACAGTTCTTGTCTCCTTCATCGACGCCTTCAACGCCCTCAATCTCGAGGTGAGGGATGTACACTTGCCGCCAAAGGACATCTTACATGCTGGCGAAACTCGGCAAAGAAAAACAAAAGTTATCGATCTAAGCCTGCATGACACATCAACCGCCTTACCTTCATCTGCCGAGCCTCTCACGTACGCAGTACCTGTGCTGCATAGAGCAACTCACACCCCAGCAATTCGAAACCCCTACCTTTAGAGCTCTTGTCTCATGTCAGCCCTCGAATCAAGTGGCCTCTAGCCTCCCGCCCTTCTGGCACGAGAGATCCATTTCACGGCGCCCGCGCCCCTGCGGTCATGTGCAGCCGGCCTGCAGCAACCATGCAGATGCCAGTTTCCCGCCAGTTTTTCTGAAAACAGGACTACTGTATCCCTTGTCTTGATATTTCGTCTGATCTTGGTCAAGATGATGACCTTCAATGGCTTCGCTGCCAGCCACCGCCACATGCAGTCATTCAAGTTGGAGTCCGATTCGACGCTGCAGTGCTACCTAAAGGACCATCACATTGCATGCCCCCTTGAGCCTGTCGATCTAGGTTCGGTCATCTGTGTGCACCGCCTGAAGCGCCATTCCCCAACCCAGCAAAGTGCGAGACGCAGGGTCTATGCTAGATCTCAGTCACAACCCAGCCATCACATCTCATTTCAACAACCTCTTTGTTCCTGAGAATCTTGATCGATGAAACGTCTCATCTCTGCCACATTGGGAGTCAATTCGTCACAGTCTCTGAAACAAACAATAACAATGTATTAATCTCAGGTCTATCAGCCTGGCCCGCGCCGTTTCCGAGCGCCCCATTTCAAATACCAACACACAGGATCGACCAAGACAAACCAATGCTTGTTGCTTTTCGTGACCAGGACACCGGTTAAAGACATATTCGATACCAGAATGCATCAAGGGAACCATGCAAGCCCGAACTTTTGTTTTCTCTCCCAATACCCCATGCCCATGCCTTTGCCTTCAGACGCCAATCCATGGAACCCCTTACCTTTTTTCGATGCGCCCATGTTCCAATCTCGTTCGAGTACCGATACTTTAGGTGCGGTCGACAGATGTCTCGAATGAGGAGACGTTGGATGTTGCGATCTCCCCTGCCGCGAGTCTCCCTCCCCTCAGTGGCGTGGGGCGGGATGATGCCAGGTAGATGCGGTTTCAATTGGCCTGAGACCGGAGCGGAAAGAAACCGTCCGGCATGGGCTCAAGATGCCAGATCTTGGGAGCCTCTTGGTTGAAGGCGGCAGACCACTCCTGCATCAGGTCGACGGGAAGCTCCCAACCAAGGTCATCATCCCGAAGCCTCATGCGCACAAGGTGTCGACGCTCCCGGGGCGCCTCACCGTTGACAAACCCTTCCCGTCGGTGCAGGACAGCCAGGTTGTTGATGAAGTGAATGTCGCCGGCCTGGGTGCCGATCTCGAGCTGTGCTGCCTTGGCGATGGCCTCGATGGCGTCGAGGGCTTCCATCTGTCGTGGCGTAACGGTTGGCAGGTTCGCCGGGCGTGGGTGGACGGCATTTCCCGTGAGCGCCACTCTGCCAAAGTTCATAATGACTCTTCCCTCGTGATGGAAGAGGACCGGTCTGCACTGAAAACGGGGACTGTTGTGTCATACTGTCAGTCTGGGCGTGTTCCCCCACACAAAGCCACCGATCCCGTCTCGGGCACTTACATGGCAAAGGGCCAGTCAGATCGGGCCAGCGTGCGAATCATGTCGGGGCGGCTGGCTGCCAGGACGTTGTAGACGGTGTAGGCCGAAGCAATGATGCATTTGCCTCCCGACGCCGCCGTGTTTCGGGTGAGCCAGCTGACAACGTCGCCGGCTTCCTCATTGTGGAAGGTCCGGAGAGCAAGTTAGCGAGCCATGTTCCCTTCCCTTCCCGCGCGGGGACGCGGACGCGGACGCGACGATCTGGAGCCGAGGGGACTTACAATGGGAGATGTGGAATGACGATGGTGACCGGCCTTGAGCTTGGACGAGTTGTCGGCGACGATATGAACTAACAGGGGCAGTCAGTTTTGGGAAAGGCCACGAGCAGGCATCAGGGATCAGCCGAGTTACAAACCTAGCATGTTGCCTTTTCGGTCCTGTCGACCATGGCGATTCGCAATGTACGACTGAATGCCAAGGTACATGACCGTCAGATCCTCGATTGAGTACTTGAGTGGATCCAGGCCGCGGATAACGCCAAAACCCTTGCCGTCATGGACATCTCGGCGAATTTCGTCCAGTCGTGGGCCGAGGGTGGGAAGGGGAAAGTTGTCTCGAGAGACGAGATCTCCGTCAAGGCCCAGCGCTGCTTTTGGGTTAGTATGTTGGTCCAACGACTAACGGAGCGACTAGCCTAGGGGCCATGCCGCCGTTGGGGAGCCACGAGACACCAGAGGAACGTACCTTTAAAGACCCGCAGAGCATTCTCAGTTTCCTGCAGATCCGACTCACTCAGAGTGTGGATGTAGTCCGACTCATCCGCGAATTGATTGCCAGTCCAAGCCATGGCTTCATCGAGAATCCGTGGCCACCCCTCAGGGAGTCCTGCCGGCGCGTCTGCGATGCGATTCGCACAGCCAGCGGCCGCAAAAGATGGCCCAACTACTGGGGCTAGGCCAATGGTGGGCCCGGCTATGGAAGATGCCATTGCGATGGTTTCTGGTTGTGAAGGGAGAGTGTTTGTTTCCAAGTGTCAAGTTCTGAAGCTGAACTGCTTCCCGTGTTAGTTTGCCGTTCAAGGGCAGACGTGAAGGGGGGCTAAGAACCTACAAGACGCAACGAGCAGTTGTCTAATGCTGGTGCAAGACAAGAGGTGATGAACGAATGGAAGGGGTTGTATCAGATGTCAGATGTGAGGTGTTGTTGAAGAGGTGATGGAGAATGTCAGAAGTGACAAGAACGGCAACGGTGCGAGACGGCGGGTTTAAATGTCTTGGACAGTGTCTCGAGGAGAGGGAAGGCACAGAGGAACAAGCAACAAAAAGGAGAAGGTCCGTCGTTGATGGTATCGCGGTCTGTCCTGGGTTCACAGAGAGATGACGTTGGAGGCGCTTGTTGATGAACCTGGGGACGGAGCGAAGCGAGACAATGACGAAGAGACAGAAGGGGGAGATGAAGTTGATCAAGAGGAGGAAGGCAAGGACGACTAGAGAGAACCGGAGGAGCTATCCTTTGTGGACAGAAGAGGTAAGTTGAGAGGAGCTGCTCTTGAACTAATATAGCTCCCGAGATGATCCCTCTACATGGACGGGAGGCTTGGGATGGGACAAGAGACGAGAGGATAGGTGCCTTGTGCATCATCCATACAGTTGCTGGTTTCGTTACTTCTTCCACTCTCAAGCAAGGTGAAAAATTTTCATCTCTCACCTCGTCGTTGTCGTCAACTGCTTGCTTACCTTACACGATAGGTAGGTAGACCTTGTCTACCGAGTGGCTAGAGTTGATGCCAGGGGTAGGTTGAGGATTAACGGGTAGCTACTTGAGAGATACACAATGCAACCCGTTGGTATACCCACCGACGGGTGAATGCCTTTGTACCAGAGGGGAACCGGGAGAACGCAGGACGAAGGACTTGCTTGATTAACTCCATGTCGATCCTGAAGCAAGCAAAAGAAAACGACCATCTAGTATACACGCCCAGTACACCAAGCCGATTACGGGAGCGGCAGGAGAGAAGGGGAGGGGGGGAAGAGAGATGTCCTCTTCCTCTCCTCTCCTCTCCTCGACTACTAACTATCAAGGCAGGGCCTGGGGAAAGACCCCCCCCCTCCCCCGTGGTCGCGAGTCTAAAACAAGACGAGGAAGCAAAGCAAAAAAGAAAAAAAGTCTCTATGATGAGGCTAAGGGGGGAGGTTAGAAAGGAAAAAGTAAGCACAAAAAGAATAAGAAACGAAAAGGTTGATCTTGGGTATCCATGATTTTTGGCTAACCTGAGTACAGCTTGTCAGTGGCTTGCGCATTTTCACCAAGGACCTGGCCTTGTACCTAACATGAGTGGTCCCTTTTTTTATTTTTGCCATGTTTAGCAAAAGAAATAGGTAACTGGGCTTGAACATGGGGTGTCTGGCTCTAGAAACAAACGGTTTCGCACTAACAACTCAACCTTGCTTGGTTCATTCAAGGGTGGTTTGTGAGCTTTCTGAAAGAAAATAAGCAGAGGCGTGGATTTAGCGCCGAGTAAATGGAAAAGGGAAAAGACAGGGATGTAGGGAGGCAGCAGGACGCTTGCATCGCTCTCATCTCGCAATGCTCCTGGTGTTGCTGCTGTCGTTGCCGCCGCTCATCTACCGCTTCTTCTTGTCCCACTGTAACACACACAACACGGCTTTGACCAGGTTCCTTGTTTGTCCAACATCTCGGGAACTCTGTTGTGCAAGCAATGGATCTCTTCCTCATGTATGTATGTATGTATGTGTGTACAGTATCTGAGTGCATGCCGTTGGTCGTGGCTTGTGAGCAGCCGCGCAGAGCCCGCGTCTGTGCTCTCCGACAACGTAGCATCCAAACTGGTGTCTCGGACAGAAAAGTCCACCTCACGGTAGCCGCATGCCCAATATCGGCCGCGGTTCTGCGCTGCGCTGCACTGCAAACAAAACCGCACCGTGACGGCGCCTTCTCCCAACAGCCAGCCAGCCATGTACTTGGACTATGCCTCATTTCGTCTCTCCCTTCTCCTTGCCGTGGGGGGACACGCGCTGAACAGTACAATACAGTACAGCAGGGCACGGTGCGACTGCAACTGATGAACGAGACAACATCATCCATTGGAGGACAAAGGCATGCGCTCGCTGGCTGCCAGGCTCGGCCCGTCCGGCATGGTCTCCCCGGGCCCCGGGCCCCGGCCGCCTTCAATAAGACCGTCCCGACCTTGATGCATCCCATCCGCCATCCGCCATCCGCCATCTGTGTCTGGACGGACGGACAGACGGGTGACACACCCGCCAACGCCGCAACCCGCCTCGGTCAAGAATCTCTCGGCTGTTGCTGTGGGGGGCCGTTCTCCGCTCACCGTCCTTTGTAGATCCCTTCAACACATCCCGTCCTATCCTGTCCTGTCCGTCCTTCAGCTTGTCCTTCCCGTCAAACGCCAGTTGCCACCACAACTGAAGCTTGTTCCGAGACCGCCATCTTGAATCATTCTCGATCCATACCTCCCGAACCGATTCTCCTTGGCTGTCTGCCGCCTCATTGTACCGCCATCCCTCGGGAACTCCTAGGACAGCATGCACGCCAGAGCCAGAACCCGCCTTTTGTCTTCCTTTTCCCATACCATTCCATTCATGCCACGCCATGCCATGCCGGTTCTCATCTCGGGGTACAAGCATTAATGATACGAATGCCGCCATAATCACCGCCCTTGTCATTATCGTCATCGTCACCATCATCATCGTTATCGTCGTCAGTCTCGACACGCCCTCCGTTCTCGACCATCCTGCAGCCTCATCGCACTCAACACAGAGGCATGTCATGTGTGGTGTGCTGCTGCTGCTGTACCTGCTTCTCCAATCGATGCCAACTCTGCATCCCGTCTTGTCTCGGTGGGGGCGTTCCCTGGCCTCCTAGCCTCCCTCACTACCCCTGCCGAGCCCCAATCAAATGGTAGTCCGAGGCTGCCAATTTGCTTCAAACAGCTGGCTCACGAAAAAGTAATCATGCTCATACGCGCCTGCTTGTCGGAGTTCTTCCCACTCCGGCCCTATGCCATGACAAGGTACGTTAGCGCTGCCCCGGTGACTTGGTAATGGAGAGATTGAGGTGTGGTGTGGTGGGCCTGACCGGCAGGACAGACTGGGGGTTTGGTTTGTTCTGTGTTGGATTTGGGTTTGGGTTTGACTTACGATTCCGCCTGGCGCAGCTGCTTGTGGTATGTACAAATTTGATCTTTTCCTCATCCAGGCCTGCCAGGGTTCGCAGGTCCTGGTCTTTGCAATCCTCCGAGAAGGGGTAGATGCCCTTGTTGCAGTAGTGGAAGTGCGCTAACAGGATGTTGGCTCCTAGTTCACGCCCACGAGGTTAGCCCCCAATCCCCCTCCGCATTCGAATCAACAAAAGGCTGGGCTTCCTTACCGAGATGGTACTCCTTAACCTTCTCCTCACGCGCGAAACGTCGCTATCAAATGACGCGTTAGTAATCCGCACACTCCGCCTGGCACTCCCTTTGGCCTTCTTACCTTCATGCCGTGCTTCTTCGCATACCCGGCATCGTGCGCCGTGATCAGAGCCGTGTTGTGTAAGAGGATGAAGACTACGAGGTATGTCACCAGCCACGTGCTCTGCTTGTTCTTGGACATCATCTTCTGCAATTTGTCTAGCAGCTCTCTCCGGAGTCTCGTTTGGATGTGGTGGATCAAGATGAGATCCAGCTGAGCACCAAGCACTGGCGGGAGGGGAATCATGCCGTGGTTGGGGCTTGTCTCGTCCAGGATGTCACGACGCATGCCCAGAGTTTCATTTCCGACAATGAAGCTTGATCTCGTCGTCAGACGGACCGACATCCAAAGCATCAGTGTCTGGTGGAGAAGGTCATGGCACTCTGTCGAGGTCGACTGGTCCTGGTATATGTGCCAAGCGCGTTCATACGTCTTGAACAAGAGGCCATTACGGGGGCCGAGCAATCGTCCGAAGGCATCCTTCATGCTATCTCGGATGTGGTTTTGATACGCTTCCTTCACCTCTTCAAGATTCACCAGTGCATATGGTGGGATCGAGACCGATCTCTTGGACCCTCTGTAGTCCCATGTGCGCTCCAGCTTGTCGCCAGTCTGGGGGATGAATTGTCGAACCTCAATTTTGACGCACTTGGCTGAGAGTCCATCCGAGATGTAGATGGTCTTGAGCTCGTCTGATGCCCAGTTCTGAATTGGGTCCGAGATATTGTTGTTCCACCTTCGTGTCCATTCATAGCCAGGCACTTGACCGGGCTTGAACAGTCGAATGTCTGTGATCTTGTACCTCAGGCACGGAAACCGTCCTGCCCTCGAGTTGGACACCTTCTTACAGGTTAGGCACGGTCCCCCTTCCTCATCAGGATTGTTCTCGCACTGAAATGATATCATCAGTTTCTAGTCTTCACACCAAGTTGGCACAAGCGGCCAACTTCTCATGACTTACGCGTATTCTTTGCATTCTGCATCTGATACAAGACCCTATTTTCCGAGTCTGGGCGGTTTGCTCGCGAAGACTGGGGTCCTTGAATGGGCCTCGCTTTCCACCTCGTTGATTGGGCAAGATGATCTCGAAATTGGGTTGCTGATCCAGGAGGTGAACTTCAGGCCATCCGCTCTGCATAGCATCTCCTCCGAGCTGCGCAGTTGGGGCCATGCAGTAAGGAGAAATATCCTCAGCCGTTACCAAGCCATGCGGGGTCAGACCAGTGGTGCTGACGAGATTGGCATCGGGACCATATCCAACCTGTGCAAGATTCTGGGTCATGAGATGCTGGCCTGGTATCATTGGCTGGCCTTCCAACTGGGTCTCTTGCTTGAGAGGTTGGTTGGGGTAGAAGTCGCCTGCCGGCATCTGGTGCTGCTGACTTGGGCCAGCATCGCTAACCAATGGCGCTGCCAGCGTCGTCTGGTCAGGCAACAGAGGAAAGCTTGTCAAAGGAGCGCTGGTGAGGTCGGGCTGCTGGTAGTCAAAAGTAGACTGTGGCTCCAGACCAAGGACCGTGTCGGTATACGGTTCAGGGGGCACAATTTGCAGTGATGGTTGCTTCTCCGCCAAGTACGGCGTGCTCTGGTCGGGCACAACCGCTGGTGTGGTGGAAAGTTGTTGATACCCTTCAATCCGCGTCAGCCAGGATCATTGGCGTTATATGAGGGCCGCCAATGGCGATTCAAAGTGAGACCAAGGAATTGGTTGCATACCATCTGGTTGTCTTAGGCCATACCCACAGCAAGGGCAGAGGAGCAGGCTCAAGTCAGCTATACGTCTGGTTATCGGTGAAGTCGATGACGGCCCAGAGGCCGAGGCAGGGTCGTCCCAGCTTGAAGACGAGCCATATTGTTCTTGATTCTGGTCAAAGGGAGTCGACACGGGAAGCTTCTCCAAGGATCCCTGCGATGAGGTTGATCCACGCTCAGGGGCCATGGGAAGTGACGACGAGTCTACTCTTCTTCTCTTTCTACAATGCTCCTGGTCGAGTATTTGGTGAATTTGATAGCCAGACGTCAGTCCATAGAACTGGGCTAGCTGCTCAAGGTGTTGTGAAATCTCGTAGGGCAAGGTAGTATAATTGGGATCCACAGGAGTGGTAAAAGATATTGGTGAAGGCACTGAGTCTTCAACCCCCGGCGGGGGGCGAGATCTCTTGGCCTTAAAAGGGTAATGAGGATTCTATACAAGAGGAAAAAATCAATTCACCGCACATTTGGGTCGGGTCTGCTGGGAGGGGCTTGGGGGCGAGGTCAAGAAGAATATGCTTGACCGGAGAGTCATGGCACGAGAGCCATGATGGGGCGGCGACAAGAGGAAACGGGGGGGTTGATTGGCAACAGCCGCAGGGACCACCCAAAGAGACCGATGGACGGGGGATCAATGATATAACCCATGCAGCTTGCCGCCAACCGGGGAGAGGGATTCTCTTACCATAATGGCTGCAGTGAGACAGGACGGGGTGTGGAACAAAGACTGCGCAGTAGCAGCAGCAGGAGCGGCGGCGGCGGCAGTAGGAGCAGCAGCTAGAGACAAAGGTCGAGGTACCACCACGTGGGGACCAAAGTAGAGGAAATACAAGCAGGAACAAGGAATGCCTGGATCGCCCGGCTTGGGCCCAAGAAACACCGGACAAAGTTGAGCGACGCCGGGGTGAGAGGAGGGGGAGTGTGGTGGTAGGCTAAGGTGCCACGAAAGCCATCACCGGGACACTTGATGTTGAACCCCCGTAGTGCGCCGAGTGGAGCGCCAACGACGACCGATGCCAAAATAGCGGCTAGAGACGAGCCCAGATAGTCGATGAGAGAGGAAGATCGGTACGATGAGAGAGCCGGAGGAATCCAGAGGGGAACTAGGCGGAGAGGGGATAAGTAGGGTAAGCCCAACCAGGTGCCGTCGGCTCACTTCGAATGTGCGCAAGATCCAACGACGATGCTGCGCTGCCGTCTCGAGATGTTGGTGTGATGCCCGTGGCTGTTGACTGGGAAGCCTCGGGACTTCCTGTTAGGAAAAGACGCAGAGCCTTGTCTTGGCTCGCGGTGCTTGCTCTCGACTCGACGATGAAGCAAGCAGACTGAACGGTATGGTTCAGTCGTGGTACTAGCACACACAGAGTCTGGAGCGAGCAGCTGGTGGTGCTGGCAGGACCGGTATGCTCGCGGCCGCGATCAAGGTAGGGATGACGGCCGATGCGGGCTGCGGGCTGAGCGGGTTGGCGGCTGGCGGTGTGGTGGCCGTAGTGACTGGGCGTTGCGAATGAAGCAACGGCTCGACGCTCTGCTGGGAAGGGTGATGATGGACGAGTCTGTGAGAGAGGAAAGTGGACTCGGTGAGGACGGCGTCGACATGGCTCCGTGCTGAATAGTTTTTGACCGGTCTGAGGGGTACCATGGAGTGACAGGGGCCCGTCTGATTGCGGTGCTCGGACGGAGGAGGACCTGGGGATTATTACCCGCCCTGCCGCTCAGTGTGCCTGGAGTTCCCGATCAGGTGGAGAGATGCTGGGAACAAGGCGACAGCGAGGTGGGTTGTCCAAGACGAGGACCAGGCACTCAGAGACTTGGACTTTTGCTTAAGGCTGTCTGGGTGGTTCGATCCGCCAACACGGGTCCCAGTTTGCCATGCCCAGGCCTCGTTCCATCGACTATCAGTCGAATCTTGATCGGACTATTGTCCCATGGCCACGGGATTTAGTCGCGACAACGGTCGTTGGTGGATTGAATCGCCCATGTGACGGACATGGGGCTAGTGGTTATGGTTGCACAAATAGCCGGGGTTGGCCTGCCGCAGCGTCATTTTGCTTTTTCTTAGGCGGCCTACATAGGTAGGTCGCAAAGCCAAGTTGGCCGGGGTTGTCGAAACTCCTCAGGTAATCGACACATCAACGACGAGTAACGGCTCCAAGAGGTACAAAATCCCAAGTGCCACCCAGGGGTTGAAAAAGAGGCTTACTCTTGACATGCTAGCCAGTTGAGGCTAGATCTTGGATCCCGATCGCGAGAGCAAACCGCAGGATTACATCTCCATTTGTGACAAAGCGACTGGGGCCGTAAAGTGCAGATGCGCCAGCGCAACAAGGGCACGCGCGCGGCCAGCATTTTCAGTGTCCCAATGTTGCCGAGCGCAGAAATGCATGCCGAGTCCACAGAATCTGTGGGCTTCAGCTTTTTTTCCTTCTTTCCAATTTCTCATTCACCCACAGACCTGGTCGAGGCTGGGCGAGGTGGTGAACATGATGCTGAGTGTGCCGGACAACGTTGCTTGATTCAGAGCCATGTGACAAGACACCTGTACGCCATCGTCACGCAAAGACTTTGGTTGGTACAGTGGAGAGCAGGGGCGGGGACCGGTGAGACCAGGAACTAATATCGCTCATTGACCGTCTCCCAGAGACAGGCATCGGACCGATCGTCACCCGGCTTTGTGCATGATTGTTAATTGCGGGTTGTGCCTTGGACTGACTGAATTGGCTGCATAATAGCATTGTCGAGCCGTGCCACGCTAATCTCACCCATTCAAACATGGAAGACCAACGAATTTGCTTCAACATCAGCTATGGCGCCCTTTGTCGAGTCGTATTCGGCGAGGCGCACCGCAACGCCTCCGTGATGAGTGACGGCATGTGCATGCCTGTCTGTGTCTGTGTCTGTGCCTGTGCCTGGCCAGCCATGTTGCCTCTTTTCCCCGCCACTTCTTGATCCAAAGGACGGTATTGCGAGGTGAGGGCGTGAGATGAGATGGAGGCTTGGAGACAAAGGCCGGTGAGGTCGGTCTGTAAAGGATCCGTAGGTAGGCTGTGGTTGTAGGTTGCAAGGAGTGGCCGTTGAAAAGACCTCGGAAGTTGATCCCTATATCCCGTGACGTAGGTAGACGCAGAGTCGCAATGCACCTTCCTAGTAAAACTTTAAGCGACCTAACTTGACCTAGTCAAATCGGGTCGGGACGATTTTCACGAAGGAGGCACGATGGAGTTGACCGGTCCCCACCAGGACAACTGACGGCAGGTCCATCCAGGCACAACCGTTGAGTCCCGTCCAGGCAACTGGATGGAGATTATCCAACCCAATAGCATCAACCAATTCCATCCTGGCCACTCTCCTCTTTCATCTGCACCAGCACCAAGCAGCAAGATAAATTTAACGCGACCTCGAGAACTGGCATCTAGAACCCGACCTAAACTCGAATATCCACATGGCACATGGCTCCCGCTCCGCTAGCTCGCTCGTTAGTCTAGCCGCTATCCACCATCGGATCTTCCCGCCTCCTAGGCGAACCTTGGCCTGACTCGCTTCATGTATGGATAGACACGCATGAATACCTTGCGTTGCCATGCCGTCGCGGAGATTCGTTTGCCCAACCACTCTCCCATCAAGCCACATATGCAGCCGCCTACCTGGTCATGATTCAAAGGCCTAGCCCGCTCCGCGTCCCACGGATAACGGCGTCTGTTTGCCATGCCATGCATCCATCCCCAAGGTGCCGCCAACATGGCAACGCGGCACCACAGGGACGACTCAGGATAACCACTCGGGAGCTTCCCCGGCTTCATCCTGGATCATTTTGACATGACCTTTGCGCACTGCCCAGATCTTCCGGCTTGGCTCTCGAGAGTTGAAAACGAGACGGCACTTGATGGCTTTTCGGAACGCCGAGCCCGGCATGTCGGGGACCAACAGGTTGTTTGACAACACGAGCAATCGGCAACTCACAAGACACCCACCGCAGCTGACTGTCCAGGGGACGCGTGCCGATGCAGATGGCGATGACCGTTCCCAGGATCCAAGTGGTCGGTAATCCTGGGATTTGGAGATGTGACTACTCACCGGTCTGCTCACAGCCCTTGTTCCCAGAAGTCCGGTATTCCCCCACGGAAACATTTCAGGACCTGCCAGGATACTCGAAGCGAAGGTCATGGTACTTGTTGGTGTTATTTGCGGAAGCTCTGCATTGTCGTCGATTTCGGCTATGTCTGTCTGATCTGATCAGATCAGCAAGCGAGTTTTGGCTCGCTGTTCCTCTTCGTACCTACTCCTATATCCATCTCCATATGCTCGAGTGTCCCTCTCTCGCTCAAACGCGAGGCTCTTGCTACGAGAGTTTTCTGTCACGTTCAACTTTGTGAAAGTTGGGGCCATGGCCAAACCCAAACATGGGCTCGCCCTTGTAACACAGTCTGAGCATTGAGCTTGAGACCCCGGTCTCGTGTCTTACCGGGGCCTTTCTTTACTCATGACTTTATTTGCTTCTACCTGGGTGCTCATCCCAGCTTCATCTCCGAGCAACTCTCCTTGCTAGGATATCATTCATCTCTTAACCCTCGAGTATTATTACGCCCTGTGGTTCTCAAGGCAATCCTGGTGCCGAGATTTGTGCACCAAGGCTCACTTACTCTGAAACAGATATTATGCGCCGGTTCTTGAGTTGATCGCGTCTCTGTACCTGGGAAATCTACCGATCGTACGGAGTAACGCGGCTACAAACAGGCGGTCCTGCTCCATTCCATGGATGGTTGCTTCTGCTGTCGGCGACGAAAGACTTAAGCAAACGAAACGCCCCGACTCGGTTATATTTGCAAACGCCCCTCAAGAGATTGGAAACGCTACCAGAGGGTTGTCGCCTCTTCAATGACTGCTCGACCACATAGGATGTCACTTTTTGCGACGCCAGCTGAGAGTAGAGAAGACAAACATTTGTGACAGCTCTCTTGGACCACCTAGCCTCGCCATTTAACTCTTGTGTCTCCGGCTCCTGGCAACGGGTACTTGCCTTGCCGACCCGACAACGATTGGTCTTGTTCATCTTTGCCCACGGATGATGATTTTGTTGAGCAAGCAGCCCGCCATCTGCCAGCCCAAGTGGAACCCAGCGACGGTGACTCGAGTGAGCATCCATGAGAACTCGGGATTCGACCGCTCTCGCCGAGCTCTCGGTTTGGTCGCCAACTTCACATGGAAACTGGCGCTGCTGTTCCTCCTGCGAGGGACATAGCCTATCACCAAACGGCAAGTGTGATCAGTCACCTTTCGCTCCTGAGGACCAACAAACGGCCGTCTCTCGAATCATGTGATCAGACAGCCAGGCCAGACCAGGTCGGAGTGCTCCATTTCCAGCAACCAGCTTCAGAACCGTTCGCCAAACTCGGCTGTCCACTGTCATCCGCCAACGGCTCAGCTTACCTACCTCTGGATTCTCTCTGTCGCACAACAACTGGCAGTCAACCAACTCTGCCAGCTAAAGCGTCAACCTGTGTTACTCAATTTGCTGTTCTCAGTAGATTTGCCTGCTGATTTCTGTCTTCAACTTGCATTTGCTACTCCCTGGTCAGATTGGCTGATCTCATCGCAAAACCTCGAGCCTTTGCTCCCTTGCATCTGAGTCTAGAACCCCTCACTTCAACCGCCTGTCGGGTTGGGTTGCATTCGAGACATTCGAGACATACCGCAGGTGATTTTTGCCTCACCGTACGGCTATGGCACATTTTGTAGCTGACTCGGGTCATTTCTATTCTAGGTCTCCTCTTATCTGCGTCGCATCGTGCCATGGAGTTGAGCCAGCAGTCTATTCACGATGTCATCCATCCCACTGCAGCTTTCTCGGACCTTGTTCTGAACCCGGCCCCGGACTTGGTGAGCCAGGACGACCAGGCTGTCAGCTGGCAGGATTCGATTCTGAATCCCAAGAACCGGATAGACAGCCTCGCAGCGCTGGAGCGCCCCCTCTGGCGCATCGACGGCTGCACCGCCTTTGGAAGCCAGTTTTATGCCGTGCCGCTGTTTGTCGACTCCATCTCGCCGATGCGAGTGGATGTCTTTATTCCAGAGCCCACAAAGTTGTCATCGGAACTTCGCCGTGTTCTCGACGTGGATGTGGCATTTCATACTACGAGCGCAAAGCGCATCGCGCACCTTGGTATCACTCGCCATGTGCTCCGCATCCTTCAGCACTGGACTTCTCAGCAGCAAGACCCCACTGAGATGTTCAAGAATATTCCCTTTGGATCCAGGATTGTCTTCAAAAACTTGCCTGTGAATGTTGCAGATGCAGAAGTCTCGGTCGCCCCGACTCATTACCTGGAGCGACAGCTCTTGTCTGTACCCGGCCTGGAGAACTCGTGGGGTAAGGATGTGCAGCTGCCGCCTACCGTGGACATCAACGACGTGACGTACGTCTCACAGTTGCATGACAGCGTTTGCCTGGTCAAGATCCAAGGAAAAACGTGGATTTTCAAGGCACTGACCAGTTACACCAAGTATCTTTACCATGAGTTGAGGCAGCTCCTCACCATTCAACCCCACCCCAACATTGTTGCTCGGCCGGTCCACCTTGTGACCAAGAAATGCAGCTTTGGGAGCAAAGTGGCAGTCATTGGCTTCACGCTGGAGTATCATACTCACGGTAGCCTGCGTGACCTGATTCCTTTCCTCAGGATACACAACATGGTGTCGTTGGCTGACGAGACGAAATGGGCCCTCCAATTGGCCTCGGCCCTCGTCCACCTGCGCAAGATGTCCGACATGTTTTATCCCGACCTGAGACTGGATAACATTGTGCTATCAGCTTCTCGAGACGCTGTCATGGTTGACTTTGAGCAGCGTGGAGTCTGGTGCGAGTTTGCCGCTCCCGAGGTTAACGCTCTCGAGTACGTGAGGCTGCTTGCTATTGACGAAGAAATTCCGCTTGAAGTCAGCGAGAAGTATGCCAACATACTGACCGAGATGTTGCCTGGGTGGGAGGAGATGGGTGAGGGCGAGGAATACAGGTGGCCCTCAAAGGGCTACAATGTTCCCTGGGCATGCCTTACTCCGACAGAGCAGGAAGCCTGCGAGGTTTACATGCTCGGTCGCGTGCTGTGGTGCATCTTTGAGGGGAACAGTGCTCCTCAGAGAGCTGCAGTCTGGCTGTCGTATCGCTGGGAGCCCCAGGTTGAGTTCCCAGGGTATACGACGACTCCAGAACCGATGCGGCGCCTCATTGACCGCTGCACGCGTGGGAGGCAGGCCGGTCTAAGCAGGCTGATCGTGAGGGAGCGCAATCAGCTCGTGCTCCGACAGTACGAGAAGACTGGTCGGTCTACCCCCGAGGAGGTTCAGCAAACGGCGCGCGACTGGTGGTCCAAGGAGATTCAGGCCTCAGAGGAGTGGCTAGGCCAGAGAATTGAGGGTATGAAGACGGGTAGCTGGAAGGAGAACTACTATGACCGGCCTACGCTGAAGGAGGTTCTCGCCGAGATTAAGGCCTTCCGAGATGAGGCTGGACTCAAGGTTTGATATCATGGGTGGCATCTTGATTTGGCACAAGACAGCCCTCACACACAGCATCACAACAGCGCAATCACTACAGCATTAGTACAGTAGAGCAGATCCACGAGGGGGGCCAGGCGGCGGGTCCTATGAACCGCTCAGCCAGTGGCACGCGTTTCCTCGATTTTCCTTCCTTGCTACCAGACTCAGTTCAGTTTTGATAAAGTCAGTATCGAATTGACAAAGGTATTTTTATATCCATTTCATAAGGAGAAAAGAACGTAGGTACACACGTGCTCTCCCCTCGGAGCGAGTTCCGTTCCAATGTTAATAAACCATCCCGTGAAGAACCAGCTTCCAGGTTGTCCTCACCTCACCCGCTTCGTCCTCCGCCCTCCCGTCTGGCGAACAGAGCGCTTCAGCCCTGATCCTGTGCTCGACGCCCTCAGTCTCCCCAGCATGGCACGATACCGCTCGACGTAGCCTGCAGGAGCGCCATACAACTCGATCCTCTCGAGGATGGCTTCGAGGTTATTCAGAAACTGGCTTGCTGCCTCGGGAATCAGGTTCAACACGCTTAAGATAAAATCTTGATCACGATCGCCCACGAGGCGCAGATACAGATTGCGGTCGGCGCGCGGGGCGCTTGCTTGACCCTGGTCGCGGTTATGGGCCACAACCGAGTCCAGGATGTGGACGAGGCTGCGGGCGGCAGACAGGGCCTCGCGCCCCGAGAGTGGGCTGTCGCGCGTGTAAATCTCGTGGCGCATGCGACGGACGCAGCCAAGGATGTGAGAGGCTGCCCAGGGGACGTCGCGAGGGGACTCGGACCCTGCCGGCGGCCGATCCGCGTCCAGGTCCCGGAGCACACGGTCGATGCGCTGGGTAAGCTTGCGGAAGGGGTCATTGACAGGGTCGGTAGGGCGGGATGCCGAACGAAAGTAATGAAAGAAGTGGTGGTTGTCCATGAGCATACGGAAGATGGTCTGCTCGAGGTCGTGCCGCTTGAGTAGCTTCTTGCCCAGTGATATTTGGTCAAAGATGTTTGGTCTGAACGACTCTGGATCTTCGTCATAGATTGAGGAGAGAATCTCTCGAGCTTCTTGGGCTCGGTAGATATCAGGCTCATTGTTATACTCTGTTTGTGGAGTAACTAATTGGCAGTGTAGTCCATCGGCAAGAACGTCGAGATGGTAGTTTGCAATCTTCTGGAAGGGATCACCCATCTCTTCAGCGTAGCCGTCCTGGTTCATCTTCAAGGGCTTAGCCAAGTCATGATCGTACATGGTCTGCTTGACGATCTGGTCGAGCAGCCACAGGAGGTGCTCGCAGGGCTGCCCGTCGTTCCGGCACGAGCAGCTCAGGTTGGAGATGCCGTTCTCCGGGGCGCGGATCCGAATGGAGCGTGTGACAAGCTCCGTCATCTGGAAGGCATAGGTGTTGTTGATGCGGCGGCATTTTTGCAGTGCAATCCTTGGAGGCTCCTTGAAGGTATCGCGGACAGTCTCCTGGGTGGCTTCTGGGAGGTGGTCGACGGTATAAGTGAGCTTGGTGGGCGAGCGAATCGCCGAGGGCTCGCCGTCGTCAAACTCTGAGCTGTCATCGTCAAAGTCGGAGCTATCCGAGTCCAGCTCCGACCCGGAGGAGGAGGAGCTCGACTCATCATCTCTATAGGGCTGTTCTGACTCCGCAGCGAGGGACTGAGCCCTGGTGCGAGAGCGGGTTTCTGGGGGCATGCTCTCGAGTGACAGCCTGCTGAAGCGAGACACTGGGGCAGACATTGGCTATTGAGAAGGAGGAGGATGAGACTGCAAGCGAGAGAGGAAACGGGTCATGTCTGGGAGGATTCCGAAATGGCTTTATAGAGCAAACATCGATCAGGCTTGGATACCTGGGTATACCTTAGGTAGAGAGACGGACAGTCAAAGTGTGCTAGTTAGTATACAATACATCCATAGTGGCCGAAGCTGCGACCATCGACGGTTGGTGATGAGCCTCGAGGCCGGGGACAAGGACGCATGACGGGGTCAAGTCATCGTGGGCCCCCAATACGGCAAGAGTTGATTACCCCCATCACAGTCCAGTCCATCCATCCATCGCGAGATCGAGCAAGCTCCCCTACCTGTCCAAGGTGCATAGGTAGGTAGGTATGGTATGGTTGTCTAGGCGGTCGAGCTCGTGCGTGCGCGTGGCTGTGGAGGTTGAGAAGGGTGGTCCGGCTAGCGAGACCCATCAGACTTGCTTGTGTGTGGTGCGTGGTGCGCCATGACGATGGCCTAGCGGAGCCTGAGCCCTTCCAAGCCAAGCTACTGTCAATACCGTACGGTACAGGGGTTGGCGAGGTGCGGACGAGTCCACAACAGGAAAACGGAAGGATTGGATCCTTCGGCAGATGATTGAGGGTGCATACAGTCTTTCCTTGATGAGGAAAGTCTGTCGATGTTCAGTGAAATTGAGGTGGATGCGTGCGTGCGTGAAATCGAAGACTTGTGCTGTCGGTTGTGAAAACTAAGTGTCTCCTTCCGAGGTGCAGGGTTGTGTGTGCCGCGAACTATCCGCACCTTCCTACAGTCCAACACAGCACACACGCAGGAAGGAGCTACACAGCCTTTGCTCAACCCCATAACTTCCAAGTTATGGGGTTGACTCGCCACCACAGACAGCACTCTGAAACCGCTCCATCGTGGCCTCTACCGGAATTCATAACTACTTTTCCTCTTCTTCTTCTTCCTAGGCATTCTCAACCATCATGACAGGCAAGGCAAGTTGGTTCACCGTTCAAAGCCCCCCCGCTAAGCCACGAGGCCGCACCCGACCGCCCTTCCACCCGCCGGCGCTTGCACCACCACTCAGAGCCCTCCACGGCCGCCGCTTGCGACCGCGTCTGCGACCACCTTGCTCTCTACTGCGTCTGCGTCTGTCTATCGAGACTTTTTGCACAGCAGCAAGCAGTATCTTCCACTTTCTCTCCTTTCTCTCCTTCTCCTCTTCGTCTCTCTATCCACGGCCGCTGTCGATGCGGCCGAGCGTGCGCCCGGGCTTGGCTTTGGGTCACACGGCAAGGCGTTTTTCTCCCCCCTATACCGACTACCACCTGGGTAGGCAGGTAGGCAGGTATCTAGTTCCCCGATGCTTGTTTGTTAAGAGAACAACGCCACGAAGACGTCTCTCTCGACGCCGGACGGAGCCGAGGCTGCAGTTGTTTGTCTGCCTGTCTGTTTGCTAGCAAGAGAAATGTAAGGCGTATCCATAAATCGTGACGTAGAAAGTTGTTTGAGCTGCCGGACCACAGCCCCCTTCCAACTCCGCTTGAAGGAATCCCGCCGCATGTCCATCTGGTCAAGTGACCAAGATTCCAGCGAGATTCTTTTGCTTCTAGTTGCTACTCCAAGGCATCTCTCTGAGCTTGTGCTTGAGCCTGAAATCTTCGCCTGGAAGCGAGATGCTGTTATCAACCGAGCTGGCATCCCGATGCCCACTCCTGAGTCCATGCCACATGCCAGCCCGCCCTTACCGAGCTCAGTCCCCCGTCCTAGGGAGGAAAAAACCAGCTCGCGGAGCTGTATCCGTACATTTGCGGCATTTTGCCGTGTGACGACAATGGGGATCACTGCATTTGCAGCTCCGTGTTGGTGGCGGGCAAATTTCCGCATCATGACTAGGATGGGAACCAGACTGTCGGGTCCGGAATGGACTGGACTGTAGAAACCTGGCAGGGAGGACGAGGTCATGTCAGAATTTCTCAACAGATCAGCTGCTGTTGGGGGCGAACATGAGGATACAGTTCTTCTCCCTCGTGCTGCTGAAATGTAGATAACCTGTTCGTCATCAGCCCTAACTCGCCAAAGTGTATCCTCAAGTTGGTCTTGGTTGTCAGTGATCTGTGTCTATCTCAACCCCCTATTCCACACCGAAAAGTCCGGACACCTCCACCACACACTCCGGCTGGCCCTACCCTCCCTTCCCTACCTGCAGGGGATTAGACATGCTGAATCGACCAACAAGACTCATGTTGATGCCAAGGAACATGGCGATCGAGAGAAGCAGGCTTGAGGGGTATCCCCTTGGCTCTGCATGGAGTTGTCTACTGCAACGGTCTAGCTGCATCCCTACCTATCCTAGCTTGACAACTCCCGCCTTTTCTCGAATTCCAACGTTACAGTTCAGAAATCAGTCCAGTTCAGAGAGTAAGACTACACCTGAACCGGAAGTAAGCTACGAGCAACACATCACGAGTACCTGTCAAGTCACAGCCTCCATTCTGCGAATCGAGTTCCATTATCCCTTATCAAACTGAACTCGTTTCTAATCCACATACAACATGCGTGCTTCCTTTTTCGTCTCACCCGTCAAAGTAACAGTGATATCGTACGATTCAAAGCCACCGAGAAAAATGGGCAAAGACAAGGCCAGTCAAGGTCACAATTCTGTACGGTCTGGAGCCCATCAAGCAGACTGTGACAAAGGGAAGGGGGGTTGGCTTCTCATGGCCATGGCTTCGAAAAGAAGATAAAAAAAACAAACGAAACACCGCAACAAAAGCTATCCACAAGCAAAAACGACATCTGGCCTATCCCAGGCCAGATCCCCAAAGCAGTTTGTGACTGGTCATATCGCCACTTGCTGAATCAACCTTAATTTCCCCAGTGCACCATGTCCCAGAGCCGTAAAAGGAGAGGTGTTTGCGTGTCAGGCGAGTCCGAACCAAAAACCACCAAAAGCTGATGTGTATGCTGAGCTCCCTGCCTGGAGCCCCCTCCAAACAAGTGGTACAATAAGAATTACATCATGCACAGGTTTGGAGTGCGGGTCGCAACCCATCGTCGAAGCGGACAACTCGCGAGGCTGCGTGACTCCTGGTGGTTGCTTTATTGGTCGGGGCCCTGCCTTTTCGGAGGATCGTCTTCGGATCCGGCGAAGGAGATTTGGGAGAAGACGAAGACCGGCCTGCAGACGAGGAAGTCGACTTCCTAGGCAGGCTATCTACAGACCGGTCGGATTGTCAATCGATACCGTGCTGTTTCTTGAGCTGAGCTAAAGACTCGCGGCGGGCTTCGAGGTCCTCTTTTGACCTGGCCATCTTGTCGGGCTGATGGTATAGTACTGTTCACATCGTCAGCGCAAAGTCCAAATCCGAGGCTACATCCGAGGCAATATCCGAGGGCGCAGCAGACGGGCAAGCCGAAAGAAGGGCGACGCACCAACGAGGTATCGGTTCTGGAAGTTGAAGCCGTTGAGCTTGTCGCAGGCTTGCTTCGCATCCATTACGTCCTCATAGACGACGAAGGCTGTGCCCTTGGTGTTGCTCGCGATACCCTGTCGAACCTGGCTGTATAGACCGTCAGTATATACGCATCGATCTGTGCGACTCGAGCTGATGTGAGAGCGCGTCGCCGGGGTCGACGCTGTGGTTGCTCGGGGCCTGTGCATACCGAATTGGGCCAAATTTTCCGAAAAGGTCGAACAACTCCTCCGGAGTGACGTTGTAGCTAAATCGGTATCGATTAGTCGGAGTCGGACACGTCGACATCGGTCGCATCATACCTCAAGTTCTTTACGAACAGAGCTCTGGAGAATAGTTAGCGACATCTGATACAGCATGCAGGTGTTCGTGGGGTCAGATCGGGGGTCGGGATGAGATGGGTGATGAATGGATGGGGCGTCGGGCTTTCAATGTTGATTCGTGCTGGGTGTCGAGCGCGGGCGCGGGCGAGGCTGGCGACAAACATACCGATTGACTTCTGGGGCTAATTTACCGCCGCGACTACTCATCTCTTGGATGATGTTGATGATGCTGATACAGGTTCTGTAGGGAACGGGGAGAGCGCGGTGGGCGGAATACGGAGGAAGATGGAATTGCGAGCGGAGCGGAGGCGGCGAGGCGAGGCGAAAGACTGGCGACAGGATCGAGTCGATGCGATAGCGCACGTGACCTGTAGATGTGGTCCGACCTTGCCGCGATGCAGGGCTCTAATTGGCGGGCTTGTGCTAGGTTGGTCGTTTGGCGTGATTGAAAGCGGAGGATGCAGAGCAACGGGTGTCACTTGACTGACTGGGAAACACGTTTTGCACACTGTACTGTAGCCTAGGAGCAGTACTGTACAGTAGGAGAAAAGAGATAAGATGGTTCGGATGACGTTGAAGGAGACGGGTGAGGCTCTGGCGAGTTTTGGTTTATATGGTCATTTCAAAATTGGCAATTGCATTCAAGACCAGTCTTTATTTTTCGCCTTCCACATCACTTTTCGTACTGCATCACGCGACCTGTCCAGGTGTCCGGTTGGAAGGAGCAGAGTACCGACGTGGTACATGAGGCTCACCGTGATTTTTGGTGGAGAGCGCAGGCAAGGCTATGTACCAGGTGAGTGAAGCCTGGGGCATGCACTCGTACCCGCAAAAGCCCAACACCACTGGAAAAGAGCGGCACTTCCAGGCCGAGGACCCAGGCACGCAGCCATAAAAACCCCAAGACACAAAAGCAGTCCTTTGGAGTTTCTAATGCAAGAAGATCCCTGAATATTGTAAATAATAGCCTAGAGATAACTGGATATAGTATTCTAAGACTTATTATGTTATTTCTCATTTCCATGTCTGATTTACTTGTATTTAGACGATAGAGTGAGTACTCTTCACACGGCGCAGCCGTCGGTGTCTCGAGTTTTTTTTTACGACGGCGTGGTTGTCCCTGGGTCCCTGACTTCAGTTGCTCCAGAGGGTGAGGTGCACTGCAGGACCCCCTGGAACCCAGTCGCCAGGACACGTGGAGGGCCTCCCTTCTCCATTCTTGCAGCCTTCTCGTCCGTTCTTTGCCCGAAACCAACCAACGCCAACCCCAGCAGGTGATAGCATCTTCGCTCTCGACCGTAGGGCCGATTTTCTTTTTGCTCAGGGCCCCATTTCGTCTTCTCTGACTCGACGTCGAGCACAGTGCTCCAGACTGTCCCATGTTGAGAGATACGCGAACGAGTAATGCGAGGTTATCTGCTGCCTACTGTGCCTTACCGAGGCTGTGGTTAGTTTGAAAGCAACAATAAACGTCTTTTTGTTGTCATTGTTGTTTTAGATGTTGACTGAAACGTTCCGAGTTGTGAATTTCCAGTCACTTTACAAGATTTGCATCCAACCAAACGATGAAAACTCAACCTTACAAACACACCGTGAATGGCTCCATGACTTCAGGCATCCGCCAAACTCTGCCGATAACTTTGTCATGAACTTGAACCTTTGTTCATAGCCATAACCTTGTCTTCCCCATTTGAACCCTTTTCCCTTGCTCAACCCCATTAACTGTTTGCCATCGGCCAGATACATCCTCGAGAACCGGTTTTCATCAGCATCACCATGCAAGCTTCCACCCTGTTCCCGCACACTTGACTCTGTCGCCCGCATCCTTATTCACCTTCAAAGGGACTGATCGACATGTCCGACCCCGCCCGGTCACGCTTCGGTCACGGCGTCCTGCGCTCGTTTGACGCATGGCGAGGTTCCCGGGATTTCCTCGCCGACGTCATCGAATCCAGTCGGGCATCAAGCGAGACCGAGGAGCTTCTCCAGCAGAGCCTAGTCGCAGATTCAGAGGACTGGCATTATCTGATTGACTGCGCCGAATCACTCCGGAGGCTACGCGGCTACGACCAGCAAAGTCTAGATGGCCAAGATGTTGCTACCCACGTCTGGAGGATACTGAATGGGTTGGAACCGTCAACCCCGGTGGCATGGGAAGCTACCGATCGGCTTATTGCTCGGGCAAAGGAGCTGGAGCGCGACCCAGAAATCCGGCCACCGTCCTCAGCCGGGCTTCTCGACCATCAGCGGCAACGGCGGTGCGACTCGGAAGTCGGGTTGCCCTATTCTCAGCCGCCGGAGAGCGCGAAGCGCCATCTCACTACATCACACTACTGGTCCGACCAGCCCCAAGACCAACGCCCACAAGAAAGCCACAGGTGGAGCATCCCGACTCAATTGCCTCTATTGAATCTTGCCCAAGGCTGTGTGTCTGTGGCGCCGCAAGTAACGGGAGATGGCAACATCAACTACGTCTCAAACCAGCTATATTTCCAGTCCCAATTCAATCCCAATGAGCTGGTTCAAGGGCAGTGCTCTGATAAAATAACGGCCCCTGAAAATTGGACCGGCCTGTTAGAAGATCAGAGTCTGGGTGTGAAACACGTCAGTTCAACATCTCCATACTTTACACCACCAATTTCGGCACCGGAGCAGAAGCCTCAAGCCAAAAAGCGACCTCCTCGCGGCACGATATCTGCAGTGCCATTCGCGCCTCTCACATCGCAAACGTTTGGCCTTATTCAAGAAGTGTTTGCACACGAACCGTTCTGGCTGCTGATTGCGGTAACTTTTTTGATCCGAACAAAGGGTCTTCATGCAATTCCCGTGTTTTACAAGTTCAAGGAGCGTTTCCCCACCCCGATGGCGGTTGGCGACCCAGCGAATACGGATGAGCTTGTCGGCATGATACGCCATCTCGGGCTCTCAGTTCACCGTGTGGCTTTGATGCAAAAGTATGCTCAAGGTTTCCTGCACAATCCGCCGAGAGCTGGCAAGACGTACAAGGTGAAAAATTACGACCCAAGGGACTTTGACCCGTCGGCAAAAGTATTTCAAGAGTTGAACAGCAACCCTTCAACACCTTCGGAGGAAGACCCGGATGAGCATGACCTTGAAGCGTGGGAGATTGGACATCTCACCAAAGGCAAATATGCCATCGATAGCTGGCGGATATTTTGCCGTGATGAGCTGCTCGGCCGAGCCACGGATTGGAACGGGGGTGGGCGAGAGCCAGAGTTTCAGCCCGAGTGGATGAGGGTCCGGCCAGACGACAAGGAGCTCAGGGCATATCTAAGATGGATGTGGATGAAGGAGGGCTGGGAGTGGGATCCCGTCTCAGGTGAACGCACCGTCTTGCGGGAGGAGATGCAGCGGGCAGTAAACGAGGGAAGAGTCGAGTACGATGACACGGGCGGATTAAGGATCTTGGAAGAGCCGAGAGTGGGTTGGATGGATTCTGATGTCTTGAATGCCGGACCGCAGGAACATGTGCGTACTGTATCTGGGACTGACTAAGCTGACTGGAGGTTTTGGTGTTAGTGTGTACTCTGTAGGATGAGAAGCCGAGTTTCTGTCATAGCACAGCCCCAAGATGGAAGAGGCGTCTATTCAACCTTCTGAATTACAAGCGATCTTCAGAGCCTTGATAAGGATACTTCACTGGTGCAGATTCGGAAGGTCAAGGTCCGAGTGTGCTGCAGCAAGACGCAGCAAGACGCAGCAAGACGCAGAACAGAGGCTGTGCGCCACTTAGAGAGCAGCCATTGTGAAGCTTCCATTCTTGGTGCTTCTTAGCTGCCGACCCTGGTGGCTGGGGTCCCGTATTTACGCGCGATGGAGGCCCGGTAGTGCTTGTACTTCCCAGCTTGGCAGTACCTCGCCTGCCCCTGTAGCATGCCTTGCAGGACAGGTCCCTTTCGATTCAGGAGTACCAGCCAAAGACCACTCAAGGGAGCTAAAAAGTGGGCACGTCTACCTCGCATCATCACGGGATCTCGAAAGGACACCGTTGTTACAATTAAGTAACCCTCCTTCTCTGAGGTCATCGGCTCCAATTGAACCACAAAGGACAACTCACCTCGACGCCTCGTTCGTCTTGCTTGTCTCTCCTTGCCCTTGCACGCTCGCACGCTCTCTATTTTTCCTAATCTTCGTTTGTAAAGCTTCTCACGCCGTTTGGTCCACCTCGTCTCACTGTTGTTCTCTTCAACCCCCCGCGGCCGATCCCACCTTTTTGGCCAAGCTCTCAGGACAAGATCTCGAGCTTGCTTGGTCCTCTCCTTCAACCCTCTTCGGCTTGCTACCTCGCACAAGCTGAAGAAGACTCGCTCGACGACGACGACATCATAAGCTGCCGCCCGTCGTGACTCTTCGTCAGCAGGCCTGCACGCGACCAGAGAGGGCAACAACTCGTCTACGATTCTACAACCATGTCCCAGCGATTCAACTCTGGCTACGGCCTTGGTGGCCCCGCGCCCTATGGTGCCGCCCAGAGTGTTGATACTCAGCAGAGCGAGGGCGCTCTCGAGCAGATCCGGCTGTACACTAGCAAGATTGAGGACGCTCTCGACAACCTCAGCGAGCCCGTGAAGCCGTGAGCCGAGTCTATTGTCAGGAGGAAAGCTTCAGAGAGCTAACTTTGAACAGCTATCTCCCTGCAATTGGTCGCTTCCTGATCGTCGTCACCTTCTTTGAGGATGCCCTTCGCATCATCACTCAATGGTCCGACCAGCTTCTCTACCTGCGAGATTACAGACACAGTAAGACGCCAACCGCTCACCAGCTAGAGTCGAGTTGAGAGTTCTCACACTTGAAACAGTCCCGTCCGGAATCACGCACCTCTTCCTTCTCGCCAACATTCTCGCCATGTTCTCGTGCTCCATTCTCGTCATCATCCGAAAGCACTCCGACTACGCCGTCGCCGGCCTCATGGGCGTCGTCGTGACCCAGGCCCTCGGCTACGGCCTCATCTTCGACCTCAACTTTTTCCTCCGAAACCTCTCCGTTATTGGTGGCCTTGTTATGGTCCTGTCCGACTCGTGGGTCCGAAAGACCAAGGCCTTTGCCGGTCTCCCCCAGATCGACGAGAAGGACCGCAAGATGTACTTCCAGCTGGCTGGCCGCGTCCTGCTCATCTTCCTCTTCGTTGGCTTTGTTTTCAGCGGCCAATGGTCTCTGTGGCGTGTCCTCGTCTCCATCCTGGGTGGTGTCGCCTGCGTCATGGTCGTGGTTGGATTCAAGGCCAAGTACAGCGCCACTCTTTTGGTTGTCATTCTGAGCATCTTTAACCTCCTGGTTAACAACTTCTGGACTGTAAGTTTGAGTGATTTGATCTCAGGGTTTCAGTGGCTAACAATTACAGCTTCACGAGCACCACCCTCACAAGGACTTTGCCAAGTACGACTTCTTCCAGATCCTGTCCATTGTCGGCGGACTCCTGCTCCTGGTCAACAGCGGCCCCGGCCAGTTCAGCATCGACGAGAAGAAGAAGGTCTACTAAACCCAGACGGGCGGGCTAGGCCCAGCAGAGAGAGGGCGCCGAGGTGTCCGGCGTTGACAGGGCATTTTCTATTTACATTGGGAACGGTCTGAAAAGTTGCACTCAGTGGTTGAAGCCAAGTTGCGAGAGATGGAGGAGCAGCGGGTCGATACGATATTGCAAGTGATTCTAGAAGCTGCTTCTATAGCAAACCAGATGGAATGAATAAATGGACGATTTACTATGCCTTGTAGACGTGTTACGCAGAGATGTTGGGAAACCGCTTGGTTTTAGGGTAGATGGACTAGGCGCCTATGAAAACGACTTATATGCTACAAACAAAGGTAATCTGATAGCGTTCATTGTAGTATAGATGTGCGACTTAGCTGTGAGAATGCGTTCGCCGAGGGTATTGCTTTGTGGCATGGAGGTCTTCTTGCATTGGCCATAGTTGCTGCTCAATCATGAGGGGGTCAAGTCACGTACCCATGAAATGACCAGTTGCGAACGAGCAAAGTAAACGGGTAAACAGCATTCAACCCTAAAGGATACAAAAGGCTCATTCATTTGTTTCATTGTAGAATATGAAGCTAATTGTCACTTTCGAACCGACTTGATCATCTTTGTGCCCATTAACCTATGCAAGATCCAGCAACTCAAACAAACACCAACCAATTTCTCACATAGTTAGGTAAACATATATATTGTCGTATTTCACCAATATTAATACATATACAACGATCGATATTGTAATGCCCCATACCTGTGAATGTGGCACATGGAACATGATGATGGCAGGCTAATGTGATGGCGGATACTAGGGAATCTCTACCAATAACGAGGCTCACCATGGGCCACGCCTATTGCAGTGAAATGGCCTAGATTAAACGAATATGCCAAGACATGTTGGCTTTCGCCTATAGACCTTGCATGTGAGCTATCATGATCCTTCGGGAGATGCGCTCACAGGGCTGAGGGTCACGCGATCAGTAATTGGCACAACAACGACTGACTGTGCCATGATGCAAAAGACTAAGAATGATTCATATTCAAACAGCTCTCCAAACACGGCTTTTCTTTCTTTGTTGGAGTAGAACGGTGACAAGTGGCGAGTGTCATGATTAGACGCAACTCATCATGGGAGGCCAATATATTAATAAGTGATACAACACTTCCACTAAATGGCACCCGCTGAAAGAGCACAAGTCATATCGATATGGACTCAAGAGTGTTTGTTGGTATTAATTCACCATGTTGAGATGGGAGCCGAGAGAAGATTACACAGAACAAGATCTGACAACTAAGCAAGAAAGATGTTTATTGGGTTGGATATTTCCCGACAAACTCAACCTTGCCAGATTAGATACTAAACAATCTAGCAGTAGTCCATACTATGGATATTACATGTGGTATTGCGCCAGACAGGCTGGCCAAGTGAAACCCCCGAGACGCTGGCTGTCCAAAACAGCTTACATGACGGTACCCTTGGTCTGGGTAAGCTTCTTGACGTTGATGTTCCTGAGCATGAAGACCCAGATAGCGGACAGGGCCATGATGACGAGACCGGCAGTCAGCATTCGGGTCTGGGCATAGCCGTAAGACTTCTGGATGGCGATTCTCGTAGGGCTGTTGACGGGGTAGGACAGCTGAGTCGGGAGCATGCTGTAGATCATGGTGATGTTGGCCATGGCATCCTCGGGCAGGTTGCGCTGGAGGGCGGGAAGGAAAGTGTTGGTCCAGATAGCACCCGAGATGGCACCGCCGATGGCGCCACCGATACCGCCCGAGACGTACAGAGTGGCCAGAGCAGCGGCAATGTACTCTTGCTCGACGGCAGCGAGGACAGCGAGCTGCATGTTGAGGATGAAGATGGAGCCGGCAATGGAGATGAAGATCTCACACATGACAATGTAGCCGATGTACTGGTTGGGCTGACGGAAGTGGATCATGAGACCCTGGGCGAAGAGGTACAGAGGGATAGCAGGGTAGAAGAGCCACTTGAAGTAGCCAGTGCGGCGGATAGCGTAACCAACGATGAAGAGGAGGATACCCGAGACGATCTGGAAGGTCGAGTTGACATATCCGGCTTCGGCAGGCTTGAGGTTGGCAACGACCTGCAGGAAAGAGGTGAAGTAGAGGTTCCAGCAGTAGTACGAGGCCTGGTAGGTCATGTCGATGAGGCAAGCGCCGATGACAGTGCGGTCGGTGAGGAACTTGCCCTGGAGGAAGGGAACGGGAGCCCAGTAGTACTCCCAGAGACCGAACAGGACGAGGACGAGGAAGCCGACGATGATCATGGCGATGATGTAGTCGGACTTCCAGCCGTTGGGAGCGTGGCTAGCGAGGGTGAATGGCAGAAGGAAGACGGTCAAGCCGCCACCAAAGAGGAAGACGCCGACGACTGTCAGTCTTGTTAGCATGAGAGTATTGAACATGGCCAAGGCCAGACTGGGATTGCCACTCACTATCAAACTCGCGGAAAAAGTACAAAATCTTCTGGGGAATGGTGCGACCACTCTTCTCGTGCTTAACGATACCCTGCTTGACGGCCTTGCGGAGGTTGATCTTGAGAACCAAGTACAGGGGGAAGGTGACGACAGGCAGGATGATGGCGAAGCAGCCAAAACCCCAACGCCAGTTCTTGACGTTGAGCAGGAAGGCCTCAGCAGCCTTGGATCCGGCAAAGGCAGTGATCATGTAGGGGGACGAGGTGAAGGCAAAAGTCAGACCTCGATTGCGGAGGTTGGAGGCATCAGCAGCCAGAACACCGACAGTGTAGATCATGCCTCCGAAGCCAACAGAGTAAAAGACCTGGGCAGCGCAGAAGGTGGCCAGGTTGTGCGAGGCAGCAGTGAGGATGAGGCCGATGGTGGCAAAGGTGACCATGAGGAGGAAACCCTCAGCGCGACCCCAGACGTTGAGCACCTTGGCCATGGGGATGTAGACGGCAGAGGTCATGGAATCAGCGACAATGGCGACAACAGTCAGGAGGGAGTGAGAAGCCCATTCGCTGGTGGCATAGGGCAGCATGACAGCG